TTTGAGCATTTGACTTGATGCATCAAATGTCAACAACCCACAGTGGAAAGAGAATTGTTCTCAAGCAACCTGAACTGGCTTCGTGTCAAGTGCTCTGTCTTCCGTTCCCTGCTTGCTTGATACTGCCCATTCGATACATAGGTATCTGTGGCTTGCGAAGGCGCTCAGCCGGGGTCCTTAAGCTTTACCCTCATACACCTTGGCACTGACCGTGTAGGAAGCAGCCATGGGAACTTCCTTCCTTCCGTCTACTAGGTACGCTCCCTCATTGTCCACAGTTTGCTTCGCAGCACCTACCTTATGCTCGAAATAAGGGAAACCAACTTGGAAACAACAATAAACGCCGATATTCATTTTGTTTCTCACACCTACTTCAGCCTTGTTTTTAATAACATCCGGCATTACATGTGTCGCAACCTTTGCGACACCTCCTTACGCCCATATCATCGAACGAGACCGAGGACCAGCAGCGATCAACCTTCTCCAAACAGATCTTCTCCCCAATAGCACGGCTGCTCGCCGCCGTCCGACTACACTCCAACCAACACCATCCATGCCGTCCCTGCTCGGCGTTTCCCTACCTCGTCTCTGTCCGCGACCAGATCCCGAGTGTCATCCCTCAACTATAACAGAATGATCATCAGGGTCCGACCTCGAATCGGTCTCCGGAAAATCCTCTCTGTCGCCGTCGCCATCGCCTGCTCACCGCCTGACAGAGACATTCTCCGAGACTCTCAATACCGCATTCATCTGAGGGCTTCCTCGATATGCCAACCAAAAGTTACCACCCCATAGTTAACCTTACTGACCGAACGCGATCAGAGGAATTCTTGTCATATGCGCCTCAATTTCAATGGCTGAAGAAAATGGCATTCGTATAACGGCGTGTCTCACAACGAAGCCATTTTCCAGGGAACCTTGCGTCTCTGAAGCTCGCAACAGAAACCATGCATTCGTCACGACAACTCCCAGTCGGCTACGAGCAATATAGGCGGCGCATCTCTCGCACTCAGCCACACCAGCACCCGAATCCTCCGTTGATTCTTCGACCTCGCACTTGAGCAGACGCCAAGAAGAAGAAACCTCCTAGTCTCCCCGCGTGGCACGGCCATCTTCGAGGGACGACCTATCATCCAGCAGATCAGCTGAATCAACGCAAGCCCTCTCGATGCAAGACACCCTTTTCCTTTTTCTTCATTCACCCGCGCACCCGTCTCCAGCTTCCGCATTTTCCCAACAGACAACCTAATCCAAGGCGAAAGAGAGATGGAGTCGCAAGAAAAGAAAACAAAAACCTACTACGGCTGTGATCATGACTTCATGAAATGAACTTTGGCGACATGCTGCTACCCACACTGCAGCTGCAAGAGACGCGTCAGACGCTCTTGTCAGGAAGCCGATGCCCCGACTTCACGCAAGCCTTTTCACTGAAACAACAACTCGGAGCAAATCCTTCGGTATGCAGACTGGCTAAGCTGGTCCTCTTTCAACTATCAAGCACACCAAGCAGGATTTTTGTTGATCGGACGGGCCCATCGACCGGCTCAGATAGGCCAACCCACCATTTCCGGTTCACCGGCTCGGCGCCTATTCGCTCTCTCGTCCGGAGCCCTACTTTAGCACCTGGCTACCGACCAAGGCTGATGGCGGCTTCCCTGCAACAGCCACAGCAGTCAAGGTTTGGGCGACCAAGACTTGAAGCGGTCAAGGCGACGATTGGCACGGGCATTTGGTGGACGAGAGTCATCGCCCGAGAATCAAGCTTCAATCTACCAGTCAGATGGAGGACTCGACCTCGCTACATTACAAATACTTCACCTGATCCTTCACGTCGCACGGGACGTCCCATCCCTTCGCACTCAGGAGAAAGGTGGACGCGATCAGATCGGATTCTACCGCACGACCGACTCGGAACGGCATTGGCGACGACAGACACCGCCATGTAAACGCGGAATGGCATCCACGGCGGAGCGGAGGCGTCGGCCACAGAAGATTGAGGCCGACTACGTCAGTCGCCCAGCCCAGCATGCGTATGTCTGCCTGTCAGTCAGCCTGCATCGACGGACAACGTACAGCATGTATGGGAAATGCGTCAGGATCATGTCGTGCAGCGCAGCTTCCAAGCTTCCTGGCTGTACTCAGTCAGTTGCTTGTTCGCTCACTAATACCTGACTCTGCCCCGCGGCCGGCACCGAGAGTCATTCTCGGCCTACCCCTCCATCCGAAAGCTATCATGCCAGTGGAGGGGAAAGGGCCGCTACCAGCCAACAAAGGAGAGCAAGGACGCAGAGGGCAATAGACTAAGGTATATAAGCAAAGCGTATTTATATACTATATAACTAGTATTCTAACCTAATATAATAATAAAGTTAGTATTATTCCTAATACTATAAATAAGTAGGTTCCCTCTTAATTTAACTTAAAAGTAAATTATTAAAATCCAAACTTTAAGTATATAGTTTACCTAAAAAGTAGTTATAAATAACTTTATCTACTTAAGTCTTTATATTCTATTTAATAGAGTTATTAAATAATAGAGCTTAACTAACTTCCTCTTTTATTCCTCTTTCTTAAGCTTCTTTAACTCCTTTAAGATAATATTTATTATTTCTACCTTAATAGCTATTTAAGCTCTCTATTAAAACTTTAAAAATAGCTTTTATAACCCTTAAATAACTATTAAATAAAATAAGATCTCCTTTAAACTCTTCTTTAAGAATAAAGGTATTATAATATATTAAAGGCTTAACTATTTTAAGAGTATATTGATTTAGCTTTTTCTCTATAATATATAGCTCTAAAAGACTACTATTTATAATATTATTATTTAGCTAAATTATAAAACTCTACTAAATATATATTAATTCCTTTTAATTAATACCTATTAGGGTAACTATTATTTAGCTAGCTACCTCTTAATATTAGCTTATATTTTATATAGAAATACTATCCTTAATACTATTAGGGAGGCTTAATAAGAAAAAGGGGAAATAAATCCTAAAGGTTATAATAAAATATAAGGGGGGAAAATAGCTATATAATAATAATAATAGGGTAAATAATATATAATATAGAGTTTTAGCTTAATTAATATAATAATAAAGAAGTTTAAATAGTATACTTTTTTATAGGAGCTACCCTAGGCTTTTTTATGGGAGCCACCCCTAGAGGGCGATAGACTAGGCAGCCCTTAGGCGTTGTGATGTCGCTGTCCAATTGAAGCTGAACATGGAGATCGGGCGGAGTCTGATATCTGCTGGGACAGACACCCCACTAGACCGCCTCGTCCCCGATTTGCCCAATGAGATCCGGGTCTGACGGCGCAGAAAGCAGGCATTCGCATTTGCGGTGGTCTCATTCGAATTCTCCAACATCGTAGAGACGCCAATCCCCCATCTTTTCGGGTAACACATCACATGACTGCCCCGCGACGTCCCATCCCACACTCAACATCCTCCAACTCTAGGCCGTCACTTCCCTACCTCAACTCACCCGTTGTGCCTTTTTTTGCCCTTCCCCCCACGACACATATAGCGACGTGGCAACGCATCCTTAGTGCTCCCACCCTCTTCGTCCCTTTCCCCCCCTCCATATCGGAGTATGCCCAGGCAGACATGCCCCTCCATAAAAACTCAACTTCCCGTTGAAAGCATTGTTGCGCCATGCTTGCTCAGCTGATCGAGTCCTCCCAATTGACTTTGCGCTTCCGCGTCTCCTGATTCGTCGGCCGTAGCTATTCACAGCCTCACGAGTCAACTCACCGCCGGGTATTCTTAGTCAGAAAGATCAGGCTCGTAATAGGCTTCTTTCGGCTTGTGGGCAAGGCGAGAGTCCCTGCGTCTTTCTTCAGCAAGTTGGACTTTTCATGCAGGGACTTCACATTGGCCAGGTGCGTGACGACACGTCGAATGAGGCTCTTTTCATCGTTGGGGAACTTTTGGCCGTGCTACCGCATATATGCTTCATTCGTCCCTCTCAAAGTCACCATCTGATTGATCACCTTTACGGTATGTAAGTATGTGAAGTTGTCAACCCGGTCAAGCCGCCTCCGGCAGGCAGGACCGCGGAGCACCTCGAACGTGGATTTCCCATAGAGCCCGACGGATGGTCCTCCGCATCCAACCGTTGGAAGACATATGCCGAGAGAGCCCCTCAGCTTAGCAGCCTGCCCCCATACTCGAGACTCGAGACCTGAGTATCGACTACAGATTTGAGGTCACTGGCGATAAAGGTGAACAAACAGATGAGAGAGACGAATATTGACAAGGTGTCTTTTCTTTTCACATCAACTATATGTCGCGTATCATCTCATATCCAGAGCCCACCCCACTCAAGAACACGTCAAGAAAAGGTCGTCGAAGCACACCAAAAAGTCAAGTTTTGGAGGGAAAAAGAAGAATGGAAAAATAGTTGACTACTAAAAAAAGGAGACGCGCAATAAACAAACCAGAGTCTTCGCTCGTGGTGTTCCATGGTTAGTCAGAGGGGGAGAGAAAAAAACACACAAATCCTTTAACCCCCCTCAAATCGAATATCCCTTCGCCGCCCCCAAAAGCAATAAAAGAAAACGCCCATCGAGCCATGATCGGAATTTGTGTGTGTGTCTGCGTCTCTTGTTGCCGTGTGTGTTGGTAGTGTAATGCGGTGATCTTTGTCTGGCATAAACAAAACGGACCCAGTCCCGACGTAAAAAAAAAAGTTTCCCCGCCCATTTCTTAGACGCCCCGAGGAAAAAGAGAAGAGGAAGCACTAGAACGTAAAAAAGCTCAAGACGAAGCTATAGTCACGCGTGGGTAGTTAAAGTGTAGTAAAAGGGGTCGGGGGTCTGTTCATGAGAGCAGTTCGTCTCGTGGAGAAAAGTGTCGATCGTGCCGTGTCGGGGGAAAAGAGAAAATAAAAAGTTAGGTATACAAGTACAATTTCGTAAAAACACAAGTTCGTTACGCGCGTACAGTCGCTCTCCCGTCCGCAACGGGTGGCGAGGTAAAAGGGAAAATTGCTCAGCGTCGTCTGGCAGCAGATCGGGCGCTCGTGCGTTTACGCACCCTGTTGTTGGTCTTGGCTTTGCTGACGATGGTATCGGCAGTGACCTCGCCGCTGACCGTGGGCGAAGCAGTGATAGTGCTGTCCTCAACGTCGAAGGCGAGACCCTCAAGCTCTTGTTCGTCCATATCGGTCAAGTCCTCGCTGAGACTACGAATGGCTTCGCGGCCCGTCCACTGCTCTTCGATGATCGTGGTGCCCTTAGGCTTGAACTCCTTGAAGTACCACGGCACGCCGCCCTCAGAGAGCGGGTCTGTAGACTCGTTGCCCAGGCTGCCATTAGATTGCGGTGGTGTCGGAGGCGCGGGTTGCGATGGCCTGCTCATGGATACGTAGCCGTTGGTTTCTGGAGGGGTATCTGACGGCGGCATCGTAGCTGGTATCGCACCATCCGACTTTTCTGCCGCCTTGCCATTGCCTTCATGGCCTGCCACAGACGAATTCGATGAATGCACGTCGTTCTGCTTCTCCAATGTAGACGTGTTGACCTCGATATTGCCCTCATCATCGTCTTCGCCTTCGGCATCGATGTCCATCTCGTCATCCTCAGGAGGTGCCATTATGTCTTCTTCTTGAGGCTTCGCCGTTTCCTCTTCGTTTGCAACGGTGATCTGCAGGTCATCATCCGGCTTTGGATCCTGATCCGGCTCCGGCTCCGGCTCTTGTTCTGGCTGCGGCTGCGGCTGCAGCTGTGGCTCGTCGGCTGCGTCCACCATGATAGTATCTTGGCTGGGCTCCGTGCTTTCTTCTGTGCGGGATACTGTGATTGACGGCTGGCGGAACTCGATACTAGCTTCCAACATGCCTTCCAGTTCCTTGATCAAGGTTTCCACAGGCTTGTGCGTGATCTCGGCCTCCGTCTGCAAGGCCGCCTCAAGGCGAGGCTGGACATCTTTCAGTATTCGTTTCCCAAGCGCTTTTCTTTGCCTAGGATCGTGAAAGTTCTGTTTTACAGGCGAAAGAGGTGCCGACTCCTCGAGGACTGGAGGTTCCGTGTTGATGCCCACATTGATGACTTCGCACAGGTCGTGGGTGAAGACCAGCGTATTCGTGTAGAAACGCAACTCGAGCTTTTCTTGAAGTTCCAAAAGGCCTTCTTTGAAGATGTTCTTGTCCAGACTGCAGTCTTGGTTAGCCATGTAAACGAACGTGGTTTGTAATTGACTTACAACATGGCCCTCTCCACCACTGGCACCAATTGCTTGGCGATGGGGAAGTAGCAGGTGTCCACGAATTCTTGCTCGAGCTCTGCCGCCTCGAGCTTCTCTTGCTCTCTCTCGACAACCCGCTCAGACAGGGTCTTCAACTCCAATAGGTCTTGAAGTAATGTCTCGGCGAATTCGATTCGCCTTTGAAGTCTTGCTTTGCCTGGGGGACCCATTTGGGCAAAGTTACGCCTCGTGAGCTCCATTGAAGAGAAGGTCTCCATCTGCAATTGCAAACGCTTGAGGAGTGCGGCGCCACGGCGGGCTTCGCGCTTCAACGTCCAGTAGCGACATGCTTCGCTGACAAAGTCTTTGCGCTTTCGGAACGGAAACCGAGACAATGCTTGCTCGACAATATCGAAGACCGCTTGAGGAATGATAGGAGCGCCCGACGGCAGCTTCCAGATCTGCTTGGTAGCCTGTCCCTTCTTCTTATCTCCACCGGCGACATAGGAAGCGAATTTCGCTCCAGTCATCTGACTCTCATCAGGTGGGTGCTCCGTTAGCGCACGGCTGTGGTTGGCAGCTATGGCGTGGGCCGTTGCCTGACTATCCGCCCAGATGCGTCCTTTCATGGCGCGTTTGTAGAACTTCTTAGCCTCGCGAGCCGCCTGTGCGACTCCGTTGTCCTTGGCGTAGTCTGGTGGGCAGTGCTTGTCGCAAAAAGCCTTGAGTACCATGCTGTTGTCAAGAACTGCAAGGGCTCCGTGGCTGTTCTTCATCTTAAGAAAAAGCCGCGACCGCCTTGCGCAGGTGACATGAAACGCCTGGTAGCAGGATTTGTTACTGCACTGTATGCAAGCGCCCATCTTCTGATTGCAAATGTAGCAATTCAACTTCCAGCGTGTCTTTGGCACCTTCTCCACATCCATGACAGGTTCCATGAAAGTCGCATTGCCCAAGGACACTTCTGGAATCCACATTGCGCAAAGCAAATGAGCCCACTTGGACGAGTTTGTTTGTTTGAAGGCGCCATCTGTGTTGGGGCAGAATATGCACGTCTATCAACTGAGTTAGTATGCTGCGGAAAATGAAACCAAGAAGAAGACTTACCGGAACACCTCGTCCAATAAGCTGGCACTTCCGACAGAGCCACTGACCCTCAGGGATGAAGGGAACTCCATAACACTCTTGGTGGACTGCCAGATCGCAGCCGTCGCAGAATACAATGGCGTTCGTGTTTTCGCAGTCCCCATCATCGCAGATTGCGCACTTGCTATCTTGCTCTTCGCCAACTTGGGGCTCGCCATTAACGGCCGCGGCTGAACTAGAGCGTGGGCGATGCGTCTGCGGTGGTTTGGGGTTTGGCTTGGGTATCCTCTTCTCCAGCGCATGCCATTCCTTCTCGATTTTGGTAATTGCGATCTCGAACACCTCGCGTGTGACAATTTCGAGATCGTGAGCCTTGCGTTGCTCTTTGTTGTACACTTCGAGCCACTGGTCGTCCTGTTCGTCCATGTCATATTCGACACGACCGACATTCGTGCCGGACGCGGGAATCGCGACTTCACCATCAGGCTTGATAGTTGACTGATCCATGTCTTCTTCCAGGTTTGACTCGGTGGCCTTGATAAGTCTGCCATCTGGTCGGATATACCGGTCGGTTTCTTGATATCCCACGTTCATCATCGACTTGTCGACGTATCGTGCCTGGCCAAAACTCTTGCTCTCAAATTGTTCGACCTGGTCTGATCTGCGGTATGAGGGTGCTTTCAGGTCAAGACGTTCCTTGGGTGTTTGGTTTCGAATCGGTAAAACTTGAGGTACTTTCGGAGTCGAGACTGGAGCTAAATCTCGGCTGAGGAAAGATACGGATTCTCGAGTTGGCCTGGTTCGTCGTTTTTGGGGAGTGTCGGCTCCATTGGTGACGGCGAAGTATGAGTTTGTTTGAGGGGCTGGCGTATTGCCAGTCGAAGCTGGGTTCATCTCTTTAAGGGGAGTACTCGAGCCGTTCATCGGCGTAGAAGGTCGGGCAACAAGCGGAGTGGAGGGTGGTGATTTTGCGGGTGGGAGAGGCAGTCCATCGACTTCCTCGGAGCGGAAGACCATAAAGGTAGCTTCAATATCGAGCTTGGGATGGAACTCCTCCCAGCCTCGCTCCTCTCTGGGCTTGTATCCTTCGTTTTCGGCAACAGCCGCTGCGACAGCAGCAGCAGAGCTGAACTCCATATCGTCTCGGTCTGCGGCGGTTCGTATTCTTGCGCTTCGTTCTCGTCTAGGAACCAGAGCAGATACGCTGCGCGGCTCCCTTGGCTGTCTGCGCACTGCGATAGGGGTCTGGGTTCCATCGTCATCGATGAAGCGTCCCCCACCTCCAGCACCGCCCGGAATGTATCGCCTTCTCTTTGGCGGCGGTTCGGTTTGGGGGACTACGACGGGTGTGGCGAGCTCGCGCGATGGTCGGGCGGAAGGAGTATCTGCGGGGGAGTCGACTAGGTCGCGCGCAAAGCGAGCGGCATTGGTTGTTCCGGGAGGACGTCCCCTTTTGCGGCCGGTAGGAGGACGGCGCGGTGTAGAAGGTTTTGGCGCCATGACTTGCGATTATATTCTGAAGTTTTCGGATCGTTTCAATGGCTCGGAGGGGAGAGCGTCGAGAATCACCGCGTCAGGAGGAGGTGGCGCGCGGAGTCGTAGTGCGGCTGAAGGAAGGGGCGGGGCATTGGCGAAACCGTTGGGCGCACTATTCTCCGGCACGCAAGAAGGTTACAGTGAAGTTCTGAAAGCGATGCTGAGCTGGAATCGAGTTGAACAGATCATCAGGAGACGGGGTGACGTCGAACTGGCGGCTCAGAGTTACTCCTGCGAAAAACAGAGAACGCGTGAAGTTGAAACGCACGGACCTGACTTCCATTGTTAGCCGCAGGGGGCACGCGCCATTAGTCATCTGCTGGTATCAAACAAGGGCCTTGGGGGGCCTTGGGGCCCACGGGTGCCTGTTGGGTTCGACATTTTTGGAGGGGGGCAGCCGCACCCGCATCTACCTCCGCACTAGCACCTACTCCATGCATTTTGATTGGCCCATTTAGCCGGTTCTTATCAGATCGAATTGACATTCCTGGCGGGCCACTGTCCCTTGTCACCAACTGTCGTGCAGCCACTCTACCTTACCGATACCTTCCTTAAACCTGGAAAGTCAGACTTTCGACGGTCGACACCAAGGACCATCCCATCGCATATCATTCCTCGGCGTTTACTCCGTCACTCGTCAGTGCGATAATTCGACGTTCGTCTCGTCGCCCTTGGCGATTGACTCACCTAACCCATATGTCTTTGCGATCGGCTGCCGCAATCAACTCTACCATGAGTAATTGCTCCGAAGGTAGTAAATGTTCTGCAACCGTTTGCGCCGAGGCGAAAAATCTAAAGCTCCTGAACAATATCCGCTGATCTCGGCGGCTGATAAAGGAAACGCGATTGTGCTCAATCTCATTTAGGCGCGGTGGCTGACACCGCGCCGGTTTATTCGAGAGATCCAGCTTGTTGCTAGCTTTCAAGCCCAAAAGATCACGCGGCGCATTTCAGCGCGTTACTTCTTCAAGTTCACAAACGCCTCCATTCTCGAGTCTCGCGACCGGCATTAAACTGGACGTCACCGCATCTTCCTCCCGGGATAGCTCCCCACATTTCCGGGTCCCTTCCCGAGGCGGCCAAGCGGCGGCCAATGTGCCTTGCCGCCCCTCCTCGATCGGCCACCGCTAACACACCACCACATGGCCTCCCTGTTTGACACAAACCGTTATTCAGGGTCCGACGTCAGCGAGCTGTTTTGTTGTCAAAGATCTGATCGATTTAGCTTTGACTGGTGTCGCCTGCGACATTCCCCATTTGGCAACCTCGGAGCTTAATCATTGTTGGACCTGGACTCGACCCTGAGTCGATCCGATCCCACCCAGGGACTTCTACCCACTGGTTGATTCGACGTACACCGCTACTTACCCAATTGTCGAACACACACGATGGAAGGTCCAGCTGCGCTCATTTGTTCCTGGTCGTCGTTTGTGGACTCAAGTTCTGCCCTCATTTGTGATCACCCCCATCCCGACCGTCGAGATTCCACACCACACCGAAGGAACTCTCCACGAATCAACTTCGCTGACGACACCAGCCAAGCCATCTTGATTCGCTGCAATGGATTTCTGTCAATTTCTGGATTTCCCTCTGTCGCCAATACATCCGTCGCCGACTTTTACGCTGTCACTTACAGCCAAACTCCGACAGCCTTCGTCCAAAGCATGGTGTTCTCCAGCTGCGCAATTTAACCACCGTAACCGAGATTCGCATTTCTCACAGAAATTCCGCAGTCTTTGTGCGCGAAAAGAACCACTAGACGAGACGAGAGGTCGTAAGTTTGGTATTCACCACTCAGGGTTCATCTCAAGACCGCTACAGTGGCATCGCCAGATTGACCTGCAATATAGGTTTGAACATCCTGGACGCATGTTGTTGCCGCGTACCGACATTGTATTTTCCTCATCCAAAGTGAAGGCGACTTGCGCAATCCCCCATGATCGCATCGTGTGGGATCCCGTTGGACATCGGCGAGTCGGTCTGGGTCGGTGGTGGGGAAAACCTCCGCCAATTTTGCACCTGTGGAACCCCGAATACATCATCGAATGGCTGGTGCCAGCTCATCTCACCCCTCTCTTCGCTCCAAGTTTTTGATAGCACGAGAATTGCTGGCCAGTACTTGCGAAGTCCAGGGCGGCGCATCTGCTGTCCGGCACGGCGGCTTTTCCGGGATACTCACCTCCTCGCAGCACGGCACCTTCAGACGAACTTATCCAAGAATCTGCCCCTCGTAGGCCGTTTTCGTTTTCTGTCTGCAATAATTTGGAATTGCCACTGAAAGTTTGGACCCGACTCGCTCTCGTAATAGTAATTATGACAGTAAAGTAATGGCATTGGACTGTCATGTTCCTCGCTGACCGCATTTCTCTTTAGCGAACCATTCGAGTCAGCGTAAAGCTTGACTTTATTGCTTCGAAGCATTCATCCACAGTCACCACGAGCCCATTTCCGAGGAAACCCAAGTCTTTTCCTATGGGCATGTTTTCAAGGTAACTCATAGTTTCCTGATGCTTCTGAAGGATGGCGGTCTGCCTTAGAAATATCTAGGCTATTTCTACACTCTGAGCGGATGTAAATGTCGGCACCGCCGGCGTTCGGGACCCTCCAATTTCCCACCGAAACTGCCAAAACTGAGCTCGTTGTTGTCGCGCAGAATTTGTCTCTATCCCTCATTCCCTTTCGCTTATTATGCCTCTGCCCGTTTTCGAGGAGCCAACATGAAGTCAAAGTCAGCACAGCAATCTTGGAGACAGGAAGCCTGGTTACATCGACTTCCTCACGTTTGTTGCATCTTGCCAATGGCACACTTTCTTATATAGCCCCCTGCAGTAATCCTCGGCGCATCAGTTATGGGCCATGAATTTCGTCTTTAAAAAAGTAACCTCGCAAGTTATTTGTGCTCTTAATCAGCGCAATATCTTTCATTATTGTCCTGAGATCTTCACTGTCGCTCGGCGGCAAGCGACATAAAGACGACCGATGAAACCATTCTCAGCCTCGTCGTCTGTATAATCCGTCGTCGCTGTCGCCGATGTATTCGCCGGCGTCTACCTTTTCAGTAGAAGCCCAGTGAAAACTATTCGCACGCCTGCCACAGGTAGACCCACGGCAAAAGCCACGAGAGCCTCAGCCATGCCCATGACGTCGCGAATGAAATTCGACAACGACCGGATCGCACTCTGTGAAGAACAGAGTAAACACGCTACGGTCTGGTCCATTTAAAAAGAAACCAGAGAATACAATGCGTCGATGACGCTCACGGCAGCTTCATTCTAGGACCATCCCCTTTGCTTCGGGGCCAAGTTTCTAGAACGCTGTCGATGGGTGTAAGGAAACCCAGTACAGTTTTGATACCCTACTCCTTCTCGTTGTCGATTAGAGGTTCGCGATCAACAACCACGACCCAGCCTAGTCATGCTGTAAAGTTGATATGATGTACAAAATCTCGTCCAAAGACATAATCAAATACGGGCAAGTCGAGCGGTATGTGCTTCCAGAGTCTTCGTCGCCCGGGCACCCAAAGGTCGACTTCCTTCGACGGCCAAAGCCATAGCCGCTTCGGTCACTGGCGATCGAGTATGAGCTCAATTAAACATCACAGAAAGTAATGTTCTGCTCCTCTGTCTTCACTCCTCTTGCTATTGTGTTATTCCATTCGAATACATCATGACTGAAGCAGACAGCCGAAATGAAATGGATCACAGTTCGACAGGAGACGACGCTGACGAGGTTGGTCCGGAACACAATGCCCAGGGTCGCACCCAATGTAAAGTCAAACCTGTCTATGGGAATGAGGCGAAGATGCGTTTCTCGATTCATCAGGAACATTGTCAGCGGATGCGCAACCTTAAGTACTCGGTCAAAGGAGCAGGGGCAACCCCTTCGCGGTAACTACACCGCGATCCCGCTTCCCAGAGGGTCAAGAATTTTGGTGTCTTCATAGTTAATGTCGCCGCCACGTTCAACGCGACGAACACTGCCGATAAAACGCAGAGGTTGCCACTCGCAAGATCGTCACGGCAAAGACGGATGCGCACGATCAGCATCTCGTCACCAGCCTTGATCCGACAGTTTCTACAATTCCATAGCACAAGTATGATGGAAGAAATGATATAAAAGCACTCGCCTGACGTCAAGACAACCACCAGGGCCATCAACGACTTCGGAAGTGTCGCTGAGCTTATCCTTGATATAGGCACTCTAAATGATTGAAGATCGGCCAGTCAGTCTACTATCCTTGGGAGGTGATCTTTCAGCTGGCCAAATCACAGACTCGTTCATCACCTATCTCTAGTGTCGTCCTTCAGCACTTCCTTCTTGGGTTTATTCGTGTGTTCCACAATCATTGTCCAAAACTAGTGTGCGTGCGTCAAATTCAAGACATCACCGATGGTTGAGATGGGCCGGATCGCCGCTGGGACGAGAGCCCTAGGGACATTGAGAAGTCAGACTCGTCGTCTTCCAATCATTATTTGACGAGCTATCAAGATTCGATGCTTTTAACACATTACTGGCACGGGGCGTGAAGAAATGCAGACATATGGTTATCACACTATCCACAGCTCAGTCATCTTATAAAGTCATATTCCAGCTAAAGATGAGCAGAGTCATCTCTCGTATACTCAAATACGGCATCGACATGCGCTTTTTTCTCATAGCTTAAAGCATGTACTCATAACATCAGCGATCAAGAGAGATACCGAGGAGAAAGACATATAGGTAGTCACCAGAGAGCCAGACAAACTTCACACAGACAGCAGTGTGACCGCCTTACGTTGGGCTACGCCCACCAAGGGTCCAAGTGGTATCGCTTTTACCAATCTTGACCAACGTCTTCCTAACGAGACAAGAAAGCAGTTCTACTACGGGGTTTTCAACATATCCCGGGTATGCGTTGTCATTAGTACTGGACAGGCTTGTGGCGAGCAACACATTGTCGTTGACCTGTCGATGACCAAACATATTTGCAGCATGTTACAATTCAGCATATGCAACATTAGACCTGAGAATAAGTTCCGCAAAAGTCACGCCCACCGGGGGTCGGGATGACACCGCAACTTCTGCGGAACTCATCCGGCAGGCTTGTCTCAACCCTCACTGCAAGACGCAGCAACCCCCCTCACCTATCGCTGCCGCCACGAGGACAGAATCCGATTCCAGACCGAGCCCCAATCCCGTCATACACGAACAACCAGATATGGGGGGGCCTGGACGGCCAAGCAGTGGGTGCCGGGCGCCAGGCTGGAAGGACAATTTACGAGTGAGAGACGGCAGCGAGGCCTGCGACTTCTGCGGAACTTATCCGTGGGTCTCACATTCACTTCAAGATGCGACCTCATCGCCCTATCCGAACTGACCGCTGACAAACGAGGAGCGGCGGGGAGGTTTTCTCCGTGCGAGACGAACACTTGACATGACACAGGTTGGATACTTCCCTTGAAGTCAAATACTCTTGATATCCGCCCAATGGCAAAGATTTGGCTTTGTTTAAATCTTAATGTCCTGTCACTCTTCATAGGAAAATGGCTGTCATCTCATGTTTGTTGTCATTAAGTCGCAAGTTTGTACCTGGGGTGTTATATGTACTCGCCAGTGTCCAAGATGACCTGACGGCGGATTGCCCCGTTTTCTTTCTAGACTTTTTCTTTTCCTCCTTGCGAACCTTTACTGGTGCGCCGTGAGACGAGTTATTACTTTGAGAGTTCGACTGGCCGCGAGCTACCGAAAAGATTTACGAGCCAGAGGGCTTGCCCCGGACGACCCAAGCACCGGACCATTACCGCGGAGTCGGCCACCTCGCATGTTGGGGGTGTTGGAACAGAAAGCACAGATATATACACTCGGAAGAGTTCGCCGAGATATGTTGATGCAAGAACCGTGAAGCCACATCTCGCAGGATTCGCTGTTGGGTGTCAGTCATGCTACTTTATGCCGAGGTGGAAATGTCATACCACTGGACCATGTATTCTCCTGGTCTGTCCGCGCTATTCCTGCAGACACATCGCACGTTGTACGTCGTCTTTGTCGGCGATGGCAAGCTTGCCTCAGTCAGTGCGTCTGGCGACGCCAATCCTCCTGGGAAGTTTCCGAAGCTGCCGGACGCGAAACGCTGCGATCGATGACTGCTGGGCACTTGAGGAACCCGCTTTTGGCGACTCTCGACCAATTTCCGCAGCTCGCTCGCGGCGTCGCCACCTTTTCCATGTGCATCATTCATCACCGTCTCCGCTTCGCTCTCAGCGTCATGTTGCGAAGTTGACGCACCATGACTGCTTGAGCTGTGTTCGCTCACGCTTCTTCGGGATGAGTGGAACATGGAAGACGACGTCGGCTTCCGAGGGTCTGGAAGTGCGAAAGACGTGTTTCGGCTGGGAATGATGATCGGTTCGTCGTCAGTCGAAGACTCGTCGTCATCTGAATCCCAGCTCTTCTCCCTTCGAGGCATTTCTCTTGTGACAGGTCTTCTTTGTGCACTACTTGACCTAGGGTCGTCAACCACCACGGTGGTCTCAGCTCTTGCTCTGCCTTTTGAGTCGATGGTGAACTTGACGGACGTCCTGGTGCGGGGACTCGAGGCTTCAGGAATCGACGTCAGACTTGAGAGTCGGGAATGCTGCTGCTTGAGAGGTGATATCCTGCCTGAAGGTCGACTAGGGGGCCGATTTGGACCGATGATTGGACCATGACTGACCTGCGGCCTAGGTTGAATGGCCGGGGCTAACGTAGGCAAAGCCTTTGGCAAGCCGCGACGACCACGGTTTTCACTAACGCTGCGTTGAAGCCCATTGGGACGTCCGTGTGATTTGGTAGGTGAGCTTCCTGACATATGGTCGGGCATTCTACTGGGTGCCAGCTCCTTGGAACTGAGGGAGCGGCGGATGTCCCCGCCTCGCATAGGCGCTCTCGATTGAGTTTCCGCAGCCGCAGCCGCAAGGGCGAATTGAGCGGATCCTTGTGTCACCGGGATATTGGTCTCCATGTTCGAAGAGGACGGTCGACTGAACAGTAGGCCTGGATCCACTCCTGCACCGGGGCTAACGATGCCAAACGGATCGTCTGCCGAGGTGGTGAAGGAGGCCATGGAGATATCCGCAGAGCTGGAATGGACATTGGACATAGCAGGCTTGGGAGCCAGTGGCCGGCTCCGCTTGACTGGTTGAGCACTTTCTTGGTTATTGGCTATCGGCAGGGACGCAACCTCCTGGAACATCTGGGAGGCGTCGAAGGATGGCATGTGACGATGGCTCGGCTGGAAAACATTAGAACCGAAGGAGAAATCAATGTCCATTCCCGACATATCGGCGCCTGGGTCCCAGAAGCTCGCTGCTGCGGATGCCGGTGCGGACATGGGATAGCCGAACATGTCGGTGGTGGCAGCTACAAACGCCATATTAGGCTGCTGTGGGGTCCCGGAAAAGTCTGGCTGGCCGTAGCCATGGTCATTTTGCATGTTGACGACCTGGAGCTTCGGCGCAAGCTTCCGCCCACCTTTGTGAGAAGATGGCGGAGGCGTGGCTGTTTGCCCGTTGAGATCTGCGGTGCCTTCTGTATCTCTCGTCTCCTTCAGTATCCTCCTATCTTGCGAAGCTGCTTCGGGGCTGGCTGGGCCGTCCTCTCGACCAGGAAACTCGGGTCGTTCAGTCGGGGGCTTGGATGAGGAGTGCAGTCGTCGAGAAGGGTCAACTGGCGGCAAGGGTAAGTTCGGGTTGGGCGAGAGGTGATTGGCATGGGACGCAATCTGAGTAGCGAGGCTTTCGGCGGACAAGGGTCTCTTGAGACCGGCGGAAGGGGGGTATGTCGTCGTTGAGGATGTAAAATCGGCAAAGGAGCCTTGGGAGCCTCTCAAATTGCCCGGCGTAGTGTTGAAGACTGAATAGTCCTCTGCAAATCGAGGTGTCCAGCCGCCGGCGTCGTCGAAGGGGCCTTGCCGCTGCTTGGGAGTTTCGAAGACAGGACTCGGGAAAACGGCGGAGGTTGGGGTCTGCTTGGGTGTGGGCGGCTGAGCGTTTGGGTTTCCAAAGCTGCAAGCACAAATTCAAGTTAGCCTTGGAGAGTTCTGGTAGAAATGCGGCCTGTTGGATCTTTGGGCCTGGCGGGAGGCAGAAGACCAACGTGAGCGAGGTGGGTTGGTAGAAATCTTGCCTGGAAGCCAGCTGATCCCCACTCATAGCAATTCTACTGTAGTTCACACAACCCTAACTCGGACATGACAGAACCACCTTCGCAAACGGGATTATTGAAGTTGGATAGTGCAGATGTGTTCTCGGTGCGCCAAAGTATCGGAATTGGGTCGCAACTGCCGTATTGAAGGGGGAAGTAGGTTAGGCGCAGGGTTGTCGAAGTGTCGGCTCGTGAACGTCGGTAGCGTATCTGGCGGGGGCGGCTTCAGGCTCGTATATCATTGATCATTACAGAAGCTCGTGGGGCCGTAGAATCATAAGAACACCATTAAACTAAAGGTCAAAGACTCGCGTGAGCAAAAAAGATGTTCCCAAAGCCCGAGGTTAGGAGGTTGGGAGTTGCAGGAGGCAAAGACAGCCAACAGGGAGGAGGTCCGAGATGCGGCTAGGAGTGAGAGAGAGAGAGAGAGCATACCAGCGCAAGAGAGGTTACAGAAGACGAATATTCAGTCGTATGGTCGTAAGACAGGAAAGCGTAGGAGCCTCGACCGTCAGGATAGCGTTTCTAGCAGAGCGCAAGATTGTGGAAAGGCAGCACAAGATGTGAGGAAGAGGAAAGGAGCGTCCAAGGAACCAATCGCCAACCGGGGAAGTGGACGGGGAAGGGGAGAATGGATGATCAATTAAAGTGGTGGTACGAAGTACGGATCATGCCTAGAAGGGAACGAAGGTAGCAACAGGTAACCTCGAAAAGTACCTGCAGCAGTGATGGCAAGTAAGAAGTACGTAGATCAAGCTAAGGTGGTAGTTGGTAGTTGGTAGAGACCGTCTTCCCTCGTTGGAGACTCGTCGATGGGGTTTGCCAAAAAAAATTTGGGCAATTCGAGTGCACAAAGTACCTCGAGTTAAGGTCATCATGGGTACGTATCAGCCGACAACACCACTTCATTGGCGGAAGGGGGCTACAGAGCAGCACTGTCCAGCGAAGCACAGCGCAGTGTGTGTGACGAGAGTGCTGATATTTCAAGGCGCGATTCGGAAACAGGCACCTTAATCATCGTACTGCTAGGGGATACCCTGGTTGATGGTATTAGCTACCGAAATATTTGCCAGTTCAATTAAAGAAGACGACGCTTCTCTCGCCGAAGCCACATGCCTCAAGTCTAGAACCAGATCCTTCGTCTCTGGGGTCTCTCTTCTGACGTTGATGGACTAAAACATGGAGGGGAACCTTGGGATCTAGTGTCGAGTGGCTCAGCTAGGGAGGTTGGAAGGGTTCTGAGCATCCGGGCAACATGAGGTCAGGCAGGCTCTGATCGGAGGGCCGGCTCGTACGCACTGACGGCCAGCAGTGTTCAGATGGATGCCAGATCCAGTGAGCTGTTTCTCGCACAGATGCTGAGAGGTGGTGGCAGCATGTCAAGATGTTTATCCTCCTGGCCACACCACCAGGCGCTTCTTCACGTAGTCCAGGTTTCAAGGTTTGGCAGAGACGGGATGATAGGAGGCCATCTAAGCTTCAGCCGGCGTCGAACGTGGCGTCGTCGTCTGAGCGTTGCCCGTATCCAACCTACACATGGCAAAGTATCGATTTCATGGATAAAGCATCGGCATAAGGTATGCGAATCAATGCGGTTGAGTGCCAACTATGGCGCAATTGGACGAGGGTTGGCAGGGTCTCGTGCTGAAATTGGTGCTTTACCGGACGGCGGCTAACACCAAAGTACTGTCTGTTACTGCTGAAGCTACTGCAATAGAGCGCAGCTAGTATTGGCATGCGATGAACTCTATGGGACTGAAGAAAGGGCTTCCAAGGATGTTCCTCCACGGCATGAGCCTGTCTCGGGGGTGGTCGAGGTTACTTGTGGTTGAGATATGCACATCAGCAGCCATATGGACAAACGACTTTGCCCTGAGGTGGCCTGAGATTGATCTAACGTGCTCTGATTCGGCATCTTCTTTCCAACAAGCTCCGAGACTTTCCTACGGATAGATACAGATCTCCTCAGCTTGGAATAGAGCCAAAAACAAGTAGATGTAACCACGGGAGGCCGGTTGCCTCAGCTGCTGAGCCGTCTCTTAGTCAGTACCTAATTCGAGTTGCTTAGGCGGTTGCTGGTCGCAACGGCTCGGCTACACAGCAAGCGAAATGCCCAAATATGATGTAGAAGGGATTTGACGACACCTTATGCAAGGTACTTCTCCAAACGCAGCCATATCTTTCGCAACTGATGCACCGTAAGGCGGGGAAAATTGGAACATCTGGGTAAGATTCCTAGGGAGAGTCCTCTCCGAAGACAGGGAAACAGGAACGGTCTGCAGAGCACCAAGCCTAGCTGGGCCGTAATTGTGCTGTAAGTCCATGCGGAAATGTCTAGGCAGATGACAATAGGCCGAGCGAGCAGCGGCCACTGACGAAGACAGCTGCGACTTGACGAGATGGCAGCTGCCAGTGGCCACTCATTGTCGGCTTAACCGTGCCTTGCAGACACAAGAACGATGCTCCGCGCCTTCTCAAGGCAAGGTAGATTCCCGTTGACTCGATGCGTTGATGACGGAAGGTTCGTGCAGCTGGCACTGCAGCCCTGCCAGTGAGACAGACAGCTTTCCACAGGCGTGCTGCAGCAATTAAGCCGTATCTTCACTCCTTCATCAACCATTTCCCACAGCCACCTGTCGATTCATTCCACATCCTTCAAAGATGACCCAGCAACCCCTCCTGGCAGACATTTGGACTGGCCGCCAAAGCTCCCGAAGCATGTAAGCGACAGGTGTGAGTCAACCCGGCGCTGCGCTACGAGACTAGCCCGGTTCGTGCTTCTCCCGCATTGCAACGGATCTCAAGGCATGGAATGTCTGCGCCAAGGAGATAGGGAAGAGAGGGCTAGCACTGGCTCTGGAACTCGTTCGACCTGCCGTATCACTTCCCCGCCATTGGATCGCAACGACGACAGACACCAAGGTGGTGATGCCACTTGTGCTCACCAACCCGTTACCATATTGAGCACCATCGCCCTGGCAAAGACGAATGAGGCAAAGCAGCCCGGCGGGAGATCTCCACTGTTTCGGGCCCAGCTTCACCAGCCTAGGCTGTAGCTCAGTCGGGCAAGGGGTTGTGCTCCCCTAGTGCACTGAAACTTCACAGAATCGACTTTGGCATCTTCCAACACCAGATCGATCGGTTGGAGAGACAACGGGCACCACGGGAAGGGAGATCAATCACATTACCCGAAGTCGACTCGTTACCGAAGCCTCTGTCCGGAATCACGAGCCTTGCCTCCATGTTCTCTCCCACTTCCCTAAACCTCACTCACCTTCGCCTGCCTGCAGTTTCAGACAGCGAATGGACGACAAGCGACTGCCGAATGGATAGCCGGCCAGGGACACTACGAAACAGTTGTCGATTATTTCAAGGCTGATATTGGCGGGCCTGTTCTGAAAACTATTAGTTCAGTGTCTAGGCTGAACGTGTCTTTCTCGCCTCCTGGCCTGACATACCCTTAACAACGCGTTGCGACCAGCGTCGAACAGACCATGCGCTGTCAAGAAACATGTCTGAGCTGTTTGGTGATGAAGCAGTGGTCCCCCAAGTTCCTCACACAGGCCAGCAGCCCGCAACAAACATCATACAATCGATGCTCGAAGTTGGCAACCCTTTCCATCGCTCGGTTTCGTTCAAAGCCCATGTATGCTTGGTGCGGGCTGCGGCTCTCTAGCAGACATCCATATGCGTCGTTGAAATCAGCACACGAGGCACGCGCATGGCCAGATGTTTGACAGATGCAGGCGCTAACAGCAACTGAGGTGTCTCAGTCCTGTCGATTCACGACATTGCCAAGACCATCGTCAACCAGCTCACCACTTGTTTCCTCTCAAGTCTCGACCTGCTCGGCAGATCATTCACACGTCTCGCTTCGCGATTTTCTGCCCCGGAATCTTCTCCGATCTTGCCCGGAAACCCCAGCCGCATAGGGCGCGAGTTTCTCAAACCAGTGACCAGACACGCCCCATTTCTTGAGGTTTCCGGAAACGAGTCGCGGCCACTTGGTTTGCGTCGGTCAATGCCTCGGAATTTCGTCACTTGCAGGCTTGTCTCACAGGGTTTCCGTTCACCGTCAATCTGCATCGTCAACGTCTCTTCGGTCCCGACGTTTGTTCCGATTTTGAATGTACAGTCTCCAAGCCTGTATGTCTGTTTACACCTGAACTCTGCCTCATCGGTTCCGATACTCGGCCAGGAAACCCGAACGCATGGGTCTCAATTGAATTTCGTACTGCATCTCGGTTGCACTCATGAACCAACGCAGCTATTCATAACCCACGATCAGTCATCAGACGAACTTTGGCACCCAAAACCCACCGACTTGATGAAGAAGTGACTAATCCTGTCGACTCTCAATCGCTCAAGACATGATCAATCTGCACTCATCGGACGACGCAGCTCAAACATTTGTGCGTCTCGTATGTCAGCAGCCACTGCGATTGGAAGCTGCAAAATGTTGGCTGCAATGTCAGCAACTCGCAAGGGGTAATCGACTGCTGCTTCTTTTACTCCCACTGCCTAGGTAGACCGATAACCCATTGTGGTAACTCCTTCGTGATCTCCACGGCCTCCGACAGGGTCTAATTCAGCTCGGTCTGCACCTATGCGCCGAGATGACGGATGCTAGCGACGGCTATCATTCGGGACGATGTCATTCAAGCCGGTGAAGAGTCGATGTTGGTCAGCTCCCAACGCCACATATGCGGGTTACTTCAACCCAGGCCAATCGAGGCCTGATGGCCACTCAACTCTATGACGGGTTTCTGTCAACTTCAGGGGCAGAAATAGCTCACTGCGAAAGTCGATGCTGGTCGGAGATCGACTGGCCGAGAACTTTCAGTAACAGCTGCAGTGTACCCAACTTGCGTCTTGAAAGCACGTGTCTTGATACCTCACGATTGGCTCGCCATTCGTCAAACAAATACCTGCTAGTACTGGTGCTGCAAGGGGCTTAAGTGGTTGCAGCAAGATGCCATTGGATGGCTCAATTGCGGTACAGAAAGAGTTTCTGCATACTTCGACGTACCTGCAAGCTCGTCTCTATCAGCCATGGCTGCGCTTCAGCTCTTCAAGTACATCTTCGCTCTTGCTCGTCACGCCATACGAGACACCTCAACATCATCCAGCACCTCAACAGTAACACTCGATAATCCTCAAGATTCCGCGCCAGGACCGGGGTCCTACATCAGTCCTATCTTTCTCACCAGTCCCCTGGGTCTGCGTACGAATACAGATACGCCCCTTGTGCTGCCGGGGGATATCTCATCCCCTCTACCCCAATGACTTGGCGCACACCAACGTCCTGTTACGACTTCAACGCCGCCGCCAAGTGGACATGATGGAAAGACAAAAGAACATCCAGCAATACCACCACCTTGGAACCGAAGCTCTCCCTGGTCCTTGCAGCTACCCGCCGTAGGGCAACAATAAGCACGATCGCCTGCCTATCATGGTTGTCCACCGGAACAGGAGAGAGGACCTTTGCGTTTGCTTTCTCGGGATACCTATCGGCGGGGCCTCCCGGTCGAGACGCATGAATTTGGGAGATTGCACACGCCCCGATGGATCCTTTCTCGTACCGCACGCCGTCACAAAGTCTCTCTTCGTCTCGTTGCCAAAAAAGATCTTCCTCCGGGTTGCCCATCGAATCGAAACAACCGTAAAAGAAAGCGCCAGGGGAAAAGTTTGCAAATAGCCCTGGGAGACCCGGGAAGCGCATACGGCCTCCTCCGGCGAGAGGGGTAGCCGGGCTGGTCTCCGACACCGAAGCTTTCTCGCCCGCAACCCCAGGAACCCGGCCTTCCTGGAAACGAGGTTGCTGCAACTCTGTCAGTCTTGTATGGGGTTCTTGGACAGAGGCCGTTGTTGGCCGAGTAAGATGGCATTCCTGGATCGTCCAAACTCGCGCAGATACTGCGTCGCAGTAACCGCCGTCAACCCAACTTTACAAGACATACTGCCGCCGTTTTGTTTCTCTAGGCGCATATCGAGGCCCTTGTCGAATCATGTCTGAAGCCCTCAGAGGACCGCAGACGCGCAACATCATACTCACGTTCAAACACCCAAGCGCCGTCCCGCCAGCCCCGGCCGGACCTGAACCGCCTCTACTGAAGAAGAAAAAACCCCTCAAGACGCATCCGCATGGTGTTCAGGCATAGCAGCCATTCTTTATGCCTCCCGCTTCAGTCATCATCGGCGACGGGCAGCCGAAGCGAACGAGACGACGTCTTCTCCTCCGCGCGCCTCCACCACCGCAGAACCCCGTCAGGTCTTGTCTTCCATCTTCCACCTCACCGGGCAAGCCGGCTTTCTGGCTTGGCTCCTCTAGTTTCGTTTGGTTCCTGGTCCGATGTTCTCTATTCCGCATCCTACCCCTGAGCCATCTATCTATTTTCCCGGTGTCGACAGGCATCCCACCCACATGCCTACAGTCCCCCCGTCGCCCGCTTCGCATGAACAGCGTCTACGCCTCTTTGGGAGAGACGTCCACATCGTGGGATTCGTGCTATACTACAACCCCCCCGTCGTCGGCAGATGCCCGTTCCTGAACCATGCCCTTTTCGGGAAGACGACGAGAAGGGGGGAAAAGAGGGACGACCCCCGACTCCCACGCCGTGCCCACATTCTCGGCCAACCAACACCTCCACCGATCTTCACATCGGCCCTTCGGGGGCCCCTCTCCGCCTCGTCATCAACCCTGACCTTCCTTCTCCTCTCTCTCTCTCCCCGGTATCCCATCCTTGTCCCCGGATCCCGCGAAGCTGATGCCCACCACGAAAAAGGCCGCCGGGACTTCGAAAACGGACACCACGAACCAGTCGAATGCCACCACGACGACCCTTTTCCTTCCCTCCCCCTGACAGACGCAAAATGCCCGTCATCAACTCCCCCCCCTGAGCCGTCGTTCGCAGCAAACAACGGCGCAAAAGAAGAGGGGACTGTCCTCCATCCCCGTCCCCGCGGCCCCCCTTTTTCCTTCTCTTTCCATGTGCTGCTTGTTCTTCGAAGCCCTTCTTCGTTCGACTCGGACTGGCCCTGCCCGTCGCGATTCACGTCCGGGATTGTGGTGTTTAGCACGTGCCGACTAAGGGCGGGGTTGAAGAGTCATACAAAGGCCCGCTCCAGCTAAGGGGGAGGAAGGAGAACCACCGCGGACTGCTTGCCGGCCGCCTATAGCTTCCGGTTACTGGTGGTGTTGTTGAACGGCTCTTGCTCCTGTCATGGAAACTTGCGATAGAGGCGAGAACTGCGTCAAGTCTTCGGTGTATACCGCCAACACCCTCGTCAATACGTGCAAGTCTTACGTCAGTCAACTGGGCGCGTCAAGATCACAATCCTCAAATTGGAAAACCTCCTATTATCGTATATGTGAAAATCTTTGAGTCAGTGGTCACTGAGTAGGAGAACAATGTCTGAAATGACCGTGTGTTCCTCATTCTGCGGTTACGGGGTAAAACTAAAAAATCTAACTACACTGCCCGCGGTTCCAACACGAAAACCCATATCCCATTTTCCCATCTTCAGGACGCCTGTCCATCCCTCCCTCCCCCCCCATCCCGAAATTCGCCAGTGATGTCATTCGTTCCTCTTTCTCTCTCCTCCATCCCAGAAAAAGAAGAGTTAGAGAAGAAGGAGGGAGAAAAGATACATCCCAGCGAAGTGAAGAATTCCCACCTTTTCCTCCTCTTGTGATATCATATGGTATGTCCTCCTCAAACATCGAGCAAAAAAAACTTGGAACAAGAAATAGAATCAAATACATGAAAAACCTCGATACCCGGCAGGAGATTTTAACTATCTACGATTAAGTTGTGGAAGAGGAGAACCGTAAAAAAAGGGGGAAGAAGAAGAAGACACGACGAGATTTGCGTATCCAACGAAATCAGAAAAGAAGAACTGCGGCAAAGCAAAGCGACGAACAGAACTGCCCCCCCCCCTGATTTCCTCTTCCGATTGGTTGGTAAGAAAAACACGAGCGCAAAAAAAAGAAGAATCCGACACTGTCCATTATCGAGATTTGCTCTCTCCTGCAGTGGGTGGTGGTGGTGGTGTGCGTGTTTGATGTGGCGAGTAATGTAGGGTATCCTCCTCTTGTTGGGGCATAAACGCATGAAATTTTCAGTAACGAGACCAGCGCGAAAAAGGAAAGGAAATATTCCCAAGTGTTGCGACTTGGTAAGTGTGGGAAGTATGGGGAATCGAGAGGTAAAAGTGTGGTAGAATTTTGGATGTTTCGCGCGTGTGAAGTGTGTGGAATCGTCATGACATTGTCCTTCCATTTTTTCTCATCTGGGGGCGTTTCATTTTTGTGTGATTTCCTCCCCTCCCGTTTTTTGGTTTCAACAAACACCGTGAAAAGATTTCCCATCCTCCAGAGGTATCCCCGTGATGCCCATTCTATATAGATAAGATTTGCGTATTCCGTTGAATTCGTGATGATGGAAAAAGGTGGAAAAGAAACGGCTGAGTGGGAAAATAGAAATTTTCGTGACGGCGTTTCGTTTTGGAAAATGTATCGGATACCACAGCACGCGCTGCGGCGGGGAGATCGAGTAACAAAGGAAAATACAGGAATAGGTGGTATCAGTCGTGTGTACAAAGTGCAGAGAAAAGAAAAGACCAAGATCAAGAGTGGACAGTCAGTAGCTGGCCTAGATCATGCCTGGCATGCCTTCCATGGGGTTAATGACGCCCCTCTGTTGGCCTTGCATTTGCCCTTGGCTCATCTGCGGCATCGGAGGCACCTGTTGAAGGTGTTGTTGTTGATGCTGCATCTGCGCTGACGTCGGCGTGCTCGTGACGGAGACGGCTGACTGAGGCGTGATCGGGGTTTGCTGTGGCATGGGAGGAGGCTGTTGGGGCTCGACCTTAGGCTTGGCCATCTGCGACGCAGCCAAGTTGCGGTTGTGGCTGCTTTCCCGGCGACGCTTAGGTGCGTCCTTGATCTTGGGGTGAGTGTGGCACTGACAACATGTTAGGAGTTAACTAAACCAAGTGAGCCGGTGATGTCTTACCTTGTACGCATGTCTGAACCATGTAGTACCCTTCTTCTTGCTGCTGACGAGCGCAATCCAGTCGTTGCAGCTTCCGCAAAGTCCTTCCCACACGTCGGGATTGCCGTCCATTCTTCTGGTCTCCTGAGGCTCCTGGAACGGGTTGCCCGTCGCGGCGCTGATGCCGTGGGTGAAAGACTTGTCGTACCAGAAAGCCGAGTTCTTGAGGACCAACCAGCGACCGGGCTTGCAAATACCGCACCATCCTTCGCGCTTGTTGCCGTGGCCGCGAACCCATCTAGGCGTGTAGAGATCGCCCTCGAAGCGAAGTTCCTGCTCGTGGGGGACGAGATCAGGATCGGAAGGGTTCATGTCCTCGGGAGGCGGCGGCACCTGCTCCTCGTGAAGGGAAGCGAACAGGTCGGGCGGGTCAGACAAGTCGGTATAATGGCTGTGTAGGGAGTGCGGGTCGGCGTTGGACTGAAGCATGCGGAAGAGTCCATGAGACAGCAGCGGAGGCGGAGCCTCGAAGTGATGAGCATCGGGATGCGGGAATCCGTTGGACGGCAATTGAGACGGAAGAAGCATGCTGTTCATGCTGTTTCTCTGGAATTGCGGCGGGCCAGCCATCATGAAGGGGTGCTGCTGAGCGGCTTGCAGGTTGGTGAAGTTCAGAGGGACCTGGTTGTGTTGGATTGTGGGCGAAGAGTGTCTCGAAGACATTCGCTGGTGCGCACCAAACGCATCGTGGCCAGGATGGAAGACGAACGGGGTCTGACGGTTACGGTTTTGCTGCTGGGTTCCGTATGATCCAGTCGACCATCTCTTGGTCGTTCCACGCTCAACGCTGTACGGGGCCGATCGCATGCCCGGGCGGGGTGACGGCGAGGCTCGACCGCGGCTCTGTGTCCTGACGAGTTCAGATCGGCTTTGAGGCGTCATTCGCGGGGATGCCACGGGAGACAGTTGCGTCGACGACATCAAGGAGTTGCGGTTTGATGGAGGCGGGTAGTCTGAGCTGAATGACGGCGCTTCCGATAGAGCGGCAGAGAAGTCTTCGTACGATGGCATGTCGGACAGAGCGCCCGACGTCGACATGGTGAATGATGATCCAGACATGCGTCTCGGGTTGGGACCGCAGTCGAAGTTGAACTCGCTGTCATTCTGTTGGCCGTACCTCAGATCGAGAACGGGAATGGCCTCGTCAGTCGTGTAAGCCTGCCCAATCATCTCTGTGTCCAATCCTTGGAACTCAAAGTTGTCCTCGCAAGGCTTTTGTTGCCAGGCTGCCACTAGATTAGCACGTGAGGTAACCTCTGATGAATCGACTCACTGTTCTCCATCGTGGTCACGGGATAGAAGTCTTGTTGATGGACCGAGACGGGGCGGGACATGGCGTCGCTTGGGGTTTGCTGCATGGGAAGAGGCGATGAATCCCATGATGGAAGTGTGCCGTAGTCGTCGCTCATACTGTAAGAGAAGCCCTCGTGGATGGTCGCAGGTCGAGGCCGCATGCCTTGAGACGTCGGGGTCGTCCATACACCGGCGGGTGCTCCCACGCCCTCTTGTTTGATGGGCATATCATTACCGTTCATGTTGAGGATGTGCGTTGTGCGTGGCGGCGGGACGTCTCTTCTGAACTTGTTGTTGGGGTTGAAGGTGAAGGAAGGTGTCTGTATTTGTTGCCGACTAAAGTGTACTTGTAAGTCATGTATGTCGGAGGCTGCAGGGACGGGATGGGGCCTACAGCTGTGCCTGACCAGAGTCCATGGTGCTTAGACAGGAACCCGAACAAGGGAGCGTGCGGTTAATCAATTATTGGGTTGATGCTGAACGGGGACGGTGGGTTGTTAGCATTGATCCTCGGACGAGGGACACCAAGGGTGGCAGTTGTATCTGACGGCAGTCGGGGGGCCCACACTGCCCACGTATCGACGAGCGCGATCCGACAGGCCGAAAGAGGGCTTCCATGGAACTTACTTGGAAGAATCTGGCGCAGTAGCCAACCTGAGCGGAGAGGCACAAAATAATCTCCGGACTTGGGCGAGTAATGGACGGGCGGCGTAGATGGGTTGTTTGTTGAGCGGGCTTGTAAGTAACGCGTAGATTTTTCTTCCCTTTCCCTTCTAGGCTCCTCTCTCTTTCTGCTTTACCCCTTTGGTTTTCCTTTCCGGTCTCTTCCTCGTCCACGAGTGGATGGCGATGAGCGTTAGGGACAGCGGGTCCTCGCGATGAGGCTAGTGGTTGTTGTTGACGGTAGGGATTCCCGTCCTCAACTAGACAGTATGTATATGTGGGATGCGCGAGTGAGTATGTTGGGGTGTGGTCGGTTGTTTGTATATGTATGTATGCGAGCAATCCCCAAAGGCGAGCGAGTAAAAGGAGCGTAGTGAGTTTGCAATAACTAGCAACTCGTTTGATGCTTCGATGTTGAGGATGAGAGGTTTGAGAGCGCGATAGCTGGCTAGCCGTCCAGGTTTCTGGCAGGTGAAGAGAGCCAGCTCCCGGGAGTAGATATTATAGATGCGAAGAGGCAGCCCCCCCTCGAATAGGAAAAGAAATATTATAGGTAACAAGGCTCAGAAAAAAAAGGAGTGACTGGCAATGGGAATCATGAGCAGTGAGGCCTTGGTGAGTGGGACGCGAAAGGAGAGCAAAAAAGAAGGCAAGACGAGGGGCGGTGCAGACGGATCCTGGAGGTATAAAAGAAGTAGTGTGAAAAAAGAGGCATCATCCATGGACAGACCAATAGGTCAGCACGGTCAGGTTCGGAACGTCGGTTGGAGCTAAGCCGGATTCCCTGATACAAACCTCTTCCAGTCTGTGAACTTGGGGGCAGAGGCAGGTGTGCGAGAAAGTGCTTGGCCAGGCTCACCAAGAGGGCAAGAGTTGCAGGGGTTGACTTTTTGGTGGTGGACAAGGTAACATCTGCTCGTCGATGTGGATGTGTGGGAGTGAGATGCCGATGAACCAGGGACAGGCCTACCGCCAGCTGTTTTTGGAAGACGGGGGACAAGGATCAAACCGGCCGACAGGGCTATACCCAGATGATGGATGCGTGTTCACAAACTAAGGCAAGGTAGGTTGGGAGGTAGGCCAGTACATGGCACGAACTCGACGATGCGAAAACGCGTGATGGGGAATTGTTGAAGTTGGGCTAGAGAATGCGAGAGAGAGTCCGGATAGACAACAGTATCACGGTAAGAGGGACTTGAGAAGAAGGAGAGGGCTGATGGTGGTGTGGAGAGTCCGAGGGACTGAGAGCCATAGGAAGGGGGGTGTGGAGGGGAGTGAGAGAAGACTGAGAAAATGGGGACTGAGAGCAACGAGAAGGGAAGAGCCCATGAACAGAATGACCGTTCAACCAACCACAGACAAGAAGTTTATGGGATGGAAGTAAAGAGCAGAAGGTAAAAAGAGGATATACCTGTCCGTATGGAGCGTTCACTGGCACTTGCTCAAGTCACTTGGTTGTGAAGCTCATCCATCCACACTTCCATACGGATACACCTGCCTCACCTTGTCAGAAACGCCCTCCCACTTCTAGACCTTTTAGCCCCCCTACCAGTCTCCGTTCACTCGCCATATTTTGCAGCCGGCGGCGGCGGTGCAGGTGTGGATTTGTAGCAGAGAAATTCGTCGTGACGAAATACAGGAGCAGTCTTGGACGACAAAGCCACCACCCACTCTATCGTCCTGTATCGACGATAACCGCACTCGACGTATGAGCTAGAAGGGACTTTCGGCGGTCTCCGACTAGGGACTTCAAGGCTGAGATTTGGCGAGGACCCTAGCGATCCGAAGGAAATAGTTCCCGAGGAGGTGGCTTGTCTCATCCCATACACCCACATGTGGCGACATGGCTCCAGGGCCGGAGGCAGGCCTTCGGGGCGGAAAGAAGAACGACTGAGGCATCGGGATGGATCATGGCTAGTGACTTTTGACCGACGGCCGGCAACTGCGACTCTGGTGGGAGAGCGAGAGCGCTGGGCAATGGGTATGGAGGTGGGCACCGGAGCCGAAACCAAGTCGACTTGGTCTGATCTGGTCCAGGTCTACGTCGTTGTGGGTGTTTTGTTGTTGTTGATGCTGGTCGTGTGCTGTTGTTTCTCCCCCCTTCTCCATCGTCTCTTCAGGCGGGCAGGTTTTGCGTTCCAACTCTTTTCACGGCGGAAACCCAAGCAAGAGCCAGGGTTCACGGACGAACCTCAGTCAAGTATCGGAATGATACGATTCGACTTGTCTGGAGTGTCAGTAGGCCGAGTACGGCACGTCTGCAAGGTAAATCCGCCGCAGGCCCAGTACCCGTCCCAGGCCAATGGGGTATGGGGGCCATGGGGAGGGTCCACGGGCGATGTCTGTGTAGCAGCTGGTGTGGATGCCACTGGTGCTCTGCTGCTGCTGTTAGCCCGTGTGTGCAGCGGCAGTGTGTGTACATGTTGATTTTTTGGACGGTTTTTCAGCAATAGCCACGACTCCCCAGGGCCAATCAGGCCTCGGGTAGGAAGATCATGAACGAGAGTGTTTGGCAAGAGAATCCTGACGTCGGGCTCTTGTTTTGGCAGCGAGGGCGTGACAGGGATAACTCCTGTGCCTGTTTTGTCAGATCCCTGGTTCCCCACATGATGAACCTGGTATCCTATCCTTTCCAGCAGATCCGCCCTCGGGCTTCTTTTTCTTGTTCGGTGGTTGTGCCAATGACGAAGACCGGAAGAGCAGGCATAAACCAGCACAGATGGTGATAAGTAGCTTCGCAGCTTGGGTTGCTGTGGTCGACTGTCAATAGTCAGATACAGGCCGCGGATTGGCAGCGGCGGCTGATGAGTGAGCTAGAGCTTGCTTCTTTGCTTGATTTGCCAGCTTGATTAGCTCGAGGTCAGGTTGCCTTGGCGTAGCTTAATGTGAGGTAGGTTAGGCGGCCGCAGTATGCAGAAGCAGGTGCACAGCTATCCGCAGAGATCGGAGAAATTATGGGAGTGAAAGAGTTTACGGCGCATATGAGTGGATGACCGTCTGTTCGTCTCTCCATATCTCTCTCGTCTGGCGTCGTTCCGGAGCTGCAGGGGAATCGTGAGCGGAGTATTGCCGAGAGGAGGAGGGAGTAGGCTAAGGTATGCGCATCCGTAGAGGACAGAAGCTAGAGCCTCGGGACCATGTGGATGAGGGGGTCAGACGAAGAAGTTCCAGGTGCAGCTCCAGGTCCAGTTTCCAGGCCAGTCGATTGTTCGATTGTTGGGGACCTGAAGCGATCCATCGAAGAATTGGAATCTTTTGCCCTGGCAGGCCATGGCAGGCCAGGATAGCGAGTGGGTTTGGAGACGACCTGACATGGTTTGCGAGAGAGGTTCCGGTGGCCGGCGTTCTGTGGTAAACCAGCAATAGGCAGCACGAGCCGAACGGACAGAATGACAGAGTGTCCACGCGACAGGCATCGCGTCTCCAGCAGGACGACACGATGGGTGCACAGAGACGTTGCGACGACAGAGAAGGAGAGACCAGACCATGCAGGCAGGCTTTCTTTCTCCAGATGACCTGACCTGATCAGAGAAACTGGACGGGAAATGGGTGGGCAGGACTGAGGAGTAGCACCTGAACCACAACCAAAGATTGAACGCAGCGCAGCGTCTGAGCCAGTCCACCACCCCTTTCACTCACAAGATTTGATCAAATATCATGAGTGATGGAGGGTATATGGGCGCGCAATGATGGGGCCAGCGGTGGTCAACGTCGTTGGGTGAAGGCACGGAGTAGGCACGTTTGAAGTTGACTTTGAGCTGGGTGGCGGCGCGATCTGATTTGTCGCTGAGGTAAGCATCTGCAGGGGGTGGGGCTGGGGGGGTCGCGGTCGCGGGTGTGTGGGTACCAAGGTGCCTTCAGTGGTGTTGCACCGTCAAGTCTTCCACTGGTCGGCATCGGCTTCAGGGACGCCGTACGGATACCTCTCCGCGGTAGCATTCGTAGGGCGAGCAAGGTAAAGAGACATTGGATGTATCTCGGTACCTGCAGAAGTATCTCCTGGCGCTGTTTAAGGTGGTGTGGGTTACGTTGTGCGTGCCTTGCAGCCTGCAACGTTGGCATTTCGAGCCTGGCCGTCCAGGCCTCCAACTGCTGTGCTGCATCCCGAGACTCGATGTATCTCATGTACCTCTCTTCTCTCCATCTCCATCTGCACAGAGTAGGAATACTGCAGCATGACATGTGCCTTGACTTGTTGCCAACTCTATCAAAACACTGGACAAGTCAGTCGATCTCATCCAGTTCTTCGATGCAGTCACCAAATCACCATCCTCATCTTCCGCCCAATCCATTTTGACATACCTCATCCGAGTCTCCTCTCGCCTCATCTGCCACCCTCACTGGGCCGTGAATCGCGAAGTCACTCAAGTCCACCCACTATCACCTCCAGTCCACTGAGGCACGGCATCTTGCACCGAATGGGACCTTTCCCTACTTTTTTTTTTTCCCCTTCCTCCTCTGCTCCATGTACAGCGTGTCGAATCCCACCCGTTCCGCGCTGACTCGTGACGTGACTCGTTGGTTTCTGGTCCGGACTACTGCAAGGCCATTGAGAGGGGACGCGGGGGCAGTGTCAGGGGTTTTGCAGGGGCCAGAGCTGTCTCAGATCTGTCGCAGAACGACACACCCTTGTCTCGCTTCAACCCCTCGACTGGGTTGACCGTTGACTGCACTCCTCACTCTCCGTCTCTGTCACTCATTCACTCATTCACGTCCCGCGCAGCGAACCTCTCGCGCGCTAGCCAGAGGCCCTCTCTATCTTTGCTTTTTTGTCTGTTGTATGCTGTCACTCATTCAGGCAGTGAGAGTCTAGACCTCTCTGAACATACTCTTCAGCTCTTCCTCGGGGGCATCACTCATCATTCTGTAGGTGAAGTATTTGTGAGAGGATGCTGGTCTCGGCCTCGCTTGTCGCCTATCACGTTAGCCTAGGTAAACCTAACCGCATCTTACCTCTCACTTCATGTGTCAAAACCCGTTCGCCATAGTCATACAGCTGGCATCAACTGGTCGCCGTCCTCGGTCTCGCTCGCTCATTGACAACCGTCACGGCAGCAGCCTCTCTATCCAAACACCCTCTCTGCCGTCCGTCAGTTTGATCCCATATCGTCGACGTGCGTCTGTGAGGTTCGTCTCCATCTAATCCGTCCTCTCTCTGCAGACGCTGCCAAAACCCAAAAATCCAAATAGACATCGAATTAAATCAAATCCTACCCCCCCGCACAGCTACCTGACGTTTGGGGCTCTTGTATGAGACGCGAGACTCGTCTGGCAACTGGTCCGTTCCGGACGGCAAACCCCCCAAGTCCAGTCTTCGAACCGGAAAGAGTCTTCGGCACCATTTGGCCAGCTGTCCTTTTTGATCGCGTGTCGTCCGTCGTGTGTCCGCTTATTCACTCCCCTTAACCTGTTGTCGTCACAACCTTAACCTTCCTGTCGTGTACACTAACAGCAGACGAAAAGAGACTTCTCCTGTCTGGTTCTTGGGCCAAGAGGGTTCACTTGTCGCGACGATCCAACAAATCTGGCTTCGCGACTGGTTACCCCTCCCCCTCCATCTCCCCCTCACGAGTGGCCCCCGCGCTCCCGTTCCTCAACGCGCCTCTGAGGCGAGCCGCGCCCACGCCCACGCCCACGCCCACGCCCACCTCGTCTTCCGTACCCTGTGATTCGTTCCTGCCGTCCGCCTTGGAATAACCCCTAGGCTGTGCCACTCTGGGCCGACGCGGTCCATCGACGGGAGCCACATACTTGAAGGCTCAAAACCGGCTGAAGGTCGACGACGATAAGAAAAGCAACTTCTTCCCCTGAAATACGTGAGAACTGCCAGAAAAAGCCCAATCATTCAGCGACTGAACGGCCACTTGGCGGCAATAACACGCGTCATGTTAATGCCTCGAGCCTCTGGCTTCCATTCGTGTAGCTGGTGGAGAGTCGTTTGGCATATAACACCAGCCCGCTATAGCCCTCGAGGCCATGGATCTCCTTGACAACTGCCTTAAATCGTCAGCCTATGATGGTCGCCTACTCCCGTCTTCGCATCCCAGATGGCGGGCGTGAGTCGATGCCCTAGCCTCTAATGGCCGCCATCCCGCGGAATGTACACGCGTAAAGTGGTTCCCGTCATCCATCGTCACCAACAGGAAAGAATCCGTGTGCTGCCAAAGCTTGTTAGACTCATCCGTTAGCCACAATCCAACCACGACGAGAGTTGGCATGGCGCTAACCACGCAGACCAATCCGTCAAAAACTCTCTCGTAAGGCTCTGTGAGTTGTCCACTGTTAGTGAAACTTAGCGTTGCCTTCCTGAGTAGGATACTCGGTCGCGGACTTCCGTCTCGAGATCTTCACACGCCACAAGGCAACTCGATGATCCAGCCTTCCCGATAGATCAGATTTGCAAATCCGTGAGCTGCTCAGCCGGGCCGTCTTTGACCTTTTCGTCTGTGCGAAGATGCTACTTCTCGCGGTCGGTGGCCTCCCTCAGGCTAATCGTACGGTACCCGCTGGTTGGCTTCCACCGAGCCTTCGATGAGTTGTTCTGTGGGTCTTCCGGACTGGCCGCTGACAGGGACCGGCCGTGTTGCTTGCATGACAACCTCGGACGTTTTGGGAAATTACACCAAAATGTCCAACCATGGTCGCTGTCAATAACTCGGCTCTTATGGAGATCACAGACCAATGATGACGCGACGCTACCCCGCCATCGATTGCTTGTCGACTCGGCTCGATATTGGCACCCGACATCAGGCGGATCATTGGGGGAGGCTGACAAGATCCCATCCGCAGCCGCAAGGGATAGGGGCGAGCAGGGTAGCGATGAACTTTCTGGTGCGCTATGTTAGTCGGCGTTTTATCAGACTGATGTGTTTGATGTTTACCATAGTCCGAGCCAGGCCGATTCTCTCACGGGATGTTGGGAGATGACTAGCTCGACAAGTTTAGTAGTTCTGGCCGACGGCGCATCTTAATGGTGTAACTTGACGCAAGGGACGGAGGACGCAAATAGCACCCCGCAGATGATAGTTTGCGCGGCTCTTGGCCCTTGGACGTACTACTCCGCCAGATCGCGACGCAGGCAAAAGTCTCGGGGCGAGGAGGGAAAAAGAACTCCGGTAGAACCACCTCAAAGTGGATAGTGAAGAGAAGACTCAGCGACAAAGGCGAAGGGTAGCGAGCAGGCGCTAAAGGTGGTGGTGCAAGATCGTAGATGGATCAACCTAGATAATCAGCGAGTAGGGATGAGGTGCCACATGGCTAGGCATCTGATGCTTGAAGTTGGAGACTGACAAGCTATCACCAGCTTAACCTGGCCGTGTAGGCAGAGAAAACCCGATGGCAGGCAGCGACTTCGATCTTGGTTGAGTTCACACAGCAACATTGTCCAGCTGGGTGCAGATTTCGAGAGATACAGTTGATAACAAGTAGGTGATTTGGTATGATAGATACCACCTGAGGCTGTTCTAGGGCTTCTAGTCCTTGTTGATCCTCCGCCAGACCTCCTGCTCGGCTGCGGCCAAAGAACCACCGGCTGCTGCTGCCCACTTCTTTGCCGTGTCCCATACACCCTCGTCTGCCGGAGCTTGGGAGCCTCTCTCCGCCGCCGATGCTACAGCGGCATGGTGAGCAGCTCTCTGATGGCTGTTGAATTCAGACGCACTAACGTCTTGCTGATATCCCGGAGGGTGTTCAAGGCTAGATGCAGGATCGCCTCCTAGCGGGATGGGTCGTGGTCCAGTCATCTGAGGTCCATTAGCAGTGGTGGTGGACGTGGAAGACCCTCGCTGGGCGGACATGGTTGGAGGAGGGATGGCCATCTGAGGAGGGTAAGGAACGGTGGCCTGAGTTGCGGGCGTCGGGGCTGGAGGTTGGTAGGCCTCGCCCGCCTTCGGAGGCGGAGGCAACGTCGACGACTTGTTGGCTGCCATGGGCACGGGGACGGCGCCTGGTTGGGGCAGCGGAGGCTGGCTGACATCATCTGTCGTCTTGGTTGGAGTTGGACGCGGGATGGAATATGCTTGTGCAGAGGCTGTCTGAACAGGGAGAGACGGGGCGGCCCCAGGCTGTGCCGGCGGGTATTGCTGCTGGCCGTTGGAAGATGTCGCGGTCGCGCCGACCTGGTTTTGCGGTGGTCCAGTAAGTTTATCGGAGACGTCCTGGGCTTGTGCCGCCTCGGTCTGCGGTGTCGGTCCCGAAGCCTTTGAGGCGTTGATTGGGCTGGTACTGTGGATTTGGATGGGAGGCATAGTTGATGATAGACCTCTTGGCCAAGGTGTGTGAGAGGCACTAAGCTGTGGGGTTTGGGCGCGGGTGTGAAGAGAGCGCAGGAAGTCAATACTTTTTTTTCGGGGAGGGTTCAAGATGAATCTGCAGTGATGTAGCGAGATCGCGGCCGTCCGTATACGAAGCGTCTCTGAAATCGGCTCGGAGTCATGAAGCAGACGTGGCACGTTGTGTGGTTTCCTCTGTGACAGGCGAAACCTTACGTGACGACGTCATTGCTTTGGTGGTTGGAGCGCGTCAGGTGACCCGAGGTGCGCCACGCCGCGGCCGAGGCAGCTGCCGGTGAAGGCAACAACAGACCTGAACGGCAGGCACGGGTGGCACGGTAGCACGGTACCTGCCTCCCTCGGGGCCGTGTGTTCAGATTGTTCCCGTCCTGCCTCGGAAACGTTTGTGGTCCGGAGAGGGAAGTCAGGTCGCGTCGCCTCGGCGGGCAGAACAAATGGAAAGGAAAGGAAAGGACAGAAAGAGCATGAACGATGGCCCGCAGACTTCGAGCGCTAGGACGAAGAAAGGAAGCTTCCGATTGTCACCTCACCTTGACAGGGCATCTTTGCTCGCGACTGGATTGCTAGATGTGTCTGTATCCGCAATCCTCCTCAAAATCACTCACCTAACAGACCGACGAGGTGCACTTGCACGCTGCTGCTGCTGCTGCGAACTTGGAGGTGGAAGGAGCTCCCACCGAGAGTTCCCAGGACATGCTGGCAACAACTTGTGTTGTTTGGGCATTGATTCGACGGGAGCTTGTGTCAAGTTCATCCACTCAGTTGTTCCTTATGCAAACAAGCAACAGTCGAACTGCGAAGCATACAGCACGTAGGCATTCACGGCCGAAGCGGGTGGCCAGAACCTGGTGACCAATGGTTTGTTCGCAATGGGAGCCGCAACATGCCCTGCTGCCAGGTGGTGCTTGGACCGCGTTGAGTCGCCAAACTAAGCTTCTTTGAATAAGGAACGGAATCGTGTCATTCCTGACTTGATCCCAACTGTGTCCAGCTGTGCACGCCATGCAGCAAGACCACCAGGATGACCTTTTGGTTGCGGTGCCACTGTAGCCATTGAAGCCGCCACCACCATGGCTTCTCCGTGCCGTGCCAAGACGACCAATTCTGTGGTAGAGTTGAGTAAAGTCTTGAGGATGCAATGCAACGTGTTGATATGTCATTGCTGTGGGTTTGACAAAGATCTGTGCGAAATGCTGTCTCTATTGTCTAAGAAACTAGAAGGAATAGACGATATCTGTGGCAAAACCATCGATTTCCACCTCGGTCCCGTGCCGTCATTACCTAATGAGTACGTCGGGTCTGGAATAACCAATTCCCGAGAAGCACAGGAGCCACGCTACAATTGGACTAGCTCCAGTCCAGCACTGACCACCGGGCTGTCGGTACTGGACGATGGTTGGTAGCTGTAGGAGGCTGAGGTTGTGAATCTTGAGGCTGGTGATTTTGCTCTGGTCGCAATTGACAATTCCATGAAAACAACGCCAGCCCGCCATCCGGCTCCAAAACCGAGGAGCAAGACGACACAATGGTAGGGAAAGTCAGCGAAAGGGTTCTCCTTCGGGAGGGTAAGCTTAGGATGCCTCCGTCTGAACTCGCAAGCAACAAGCTAATTGTAGACTACAGGACTGGAGAGAACCGACAATGGCATGAAGCAGACAAGCTGGCCTGATGTCACGCCGATTAATCAGAAGAACTACTACACGTATGAATCCGACGACTGATAGACCCTTCAACCACAACGATGCTGATACAGACGCGACCGATAGGGATTACATGAAGCGCGATGACCAGATCCTTGCTTTGCGACTGCAGGGCGATGCCACTCGCGATAGAATCGTGCAAGCGGCGAAGGATAGAGACCGCGCCCTTGCCCAAAGTGGTCGCGCCGAGGTTCCTCTCGTCATTCCAGAGCTCCAACCCGAGGAGGCGCCCACCGATGCTGCAGCCGGATTGGACCCTTCAAAGGTCATTGTCATCCACCCCGGCAGTCAGAATCTTCGCATCGGCTTCGCTAGCGATGCCCTCCCGAAGTCGATACCCATGACACTTGCGACAAAGTTCCCACAGACCGAGGCGGAGATGCACGAAGCCCTTCCTCGCCGACAATTCGAGGCCAAGACACAGGATCAGCAATACGGCGAAGAATGGTCCAAGAAGTACGCGAAAATGTGCAATGATCTCAAGCTGGATATGCGCGCCAACAAGCGCAAGGTCTTGCCAAACTCCAAGGAGCTGGTACTGAACTACAATCGCCGGACCGAGCCTGAGATCATCCAGACCCATAACGACCCTTTGCAGATCGAGTGGACCGATATAAATGACCTGGAAGATCCCAAGTCATCTGCCTCCTGCTTCATTGGCAATCAGGCTCAGAGAGTTCCAGATGACTCTCAACCGAAGTTCAAGCTCTGGTGGCCGATACAGCAAGGAGTGTTGAACGAGGATGATTACACCAATGCCGAACATCTGTTCGACGACTTCGAGACTCTACTGGACAAGGCCATCCGACAGGAACTCGGGCTCACTAAGAACAGCACGTGGAGACAATACAGCTGTGTCTTCGTCATTCCTGATCTCTACGACAAGCGCTACGTCGAGCAAGTCCTCAGGTCCTGCATGACGTGGTTCGAGTTCAACCGCATTTGCTTCATCCAAGAGAGTATGGCGGCTACCTTTGGAGCCGGATATACGCAAGCCTGTGTCGTTGACGTTGGAGCCCAGAAGACCTCCATTACGTGCGTTGAGGACGGGCTTTGCGTCGAGGATTCTCGCATCAACTTGAAGTACGGAGGATGGGATGTAACGGAGACATTCATGAAGATGCTGCTCTACGACAACTTCCCCTACCAGGAAATCAACCTGAGAAGACGGTACGATTTCTTGCTTGCCGAGGAGCTCAAGATCAAGCATTGCACCATGTCACAAGCAGACATCTCCGTGCAGCTATACCAATTTCACTTACGAGCGCCGAACCAGCCGACCTCCAAGTATCAGTTCAAGACGTACGACGAGGTCATTCTCGCTCCCATGGGCTTTTACGACCCTGCCATCTTCGACAACAGTACGAAGTTAAGAAGCAGGCGCAAGTTGATTGACCGGTCGTATAATGCCTACGACGTCGACATCCCGGACGACCCGACCTCGGCTGCGCAGTTTGCTGTACTGGCTCTGGTGAAGCCATCTTTGAATGCGGCTCCTACGAATGGCTTCGTTCAGTCCCAGAACGACGTGTCGACACCTATCAAAGAAAAGCTTCAGCCGTTTGACTTCCTCAAAAGGGGCGACGGCATTAACGGTACTCCTTCTGGATCCAACGCTCCGTCGCCAGCTCCGGACGGGGTCAACACTCCAGTCCCCTTTGTATTCGGCGCAAACAGAGAGGGTGCCAACGGCGGAAGTCCCGCTCCTCCCCTGCCAAACGGTGGCACACCGGGGCCGAACGGCGCTACAGCTCCCCAGCCGCCGGCGGGCATGTTTGTTGATTCTGCAGCGCGCAGTGCGAAGGCTCAGGCCATTGAACGTGATAGTGTCTTGCCGACGGCGCCGCTGGACATTGCGATTCTTACCAGTATCAACAACGCCGCCAAGGGCGACGACAAGAAGCTGCGAGATTACCTTGGCAGCATCATGGTCGTCGGTGGCGGTTCAAAAACGCCACAGTTCACTGTCGTGCTTGAAGAGAAGCTCAAGGCAAGAAGACCTGATCTTTTCGATCGCATTCTCGTCAGTAGGAGCGCCAGAGACATGGACGAACAAGTTGTTACTTGGAAGGGAGCCAGTGTCTTTGCCAAACTCCCGGCGAATGATTCCTGGGTCACACCGTTTGAATTCGAGCGGCTCGGGGCGCGTGTACTACACCACAAAGTGCTCTGGGCCTGGTAAACGGGTTCGACGGCGATTGATCACCAACCGTCGTAGTATAAGATACACTTCGGGACAGCAACGGAGTCGGGGATTTGAATAGGGATAATCAACTACTGGCATTTGTTACGGAGGCAAAGTGACCATGAAAGCCTCGTCTGCGGGAGTTGGGGCGTCATGATAAGTTTTTTTGGGGAGCTTGGAGCAAGCTTAGGCAGGTAAAACCAGATCCAATTAGCCGACTTTCATAAGAAAGTCGGGTTTAGAAAGTCGGGTTTAGACATCAAAACACAACAGTCCGTTGTCGCACCAGATTCAGTCAGCATGCTAATTATGTCCTTCCTCCGGCTCAGGGCCCCGAGCTGTAGCGAATGTCCGGTCCAAAGGCGAATTTAGCGGTGCGGTGGGAGTCTAAGTGCATCTAGGTAGGCGGGCAAGCTTATGTAAGGCGGCTCGCCCGGAGAAGCAGGGGCCTTACCTAGGTACTTGGGGTGTATGATGCTCATCCGTCCCGCATCCGCAGCTACCCTGTGTCCGTACCATCTCCCTTGTGATAAACAACAAACAGAAAAAAACACCCACCTCTTTTCCTCTCCTCTCAACATCTTGCACCGCCCGCCGCGAGATGTAAGCTTTGGACCGAACGGTGGTCTGCGGCAACAAGGAGAATAATTCAATTGCTCGGCGCAACACCACTGCAATCACCATTCGCCATGGCGGTTCTGTCTCGCTACCTGCCCTTCTCCGGGGCGACTACTACGCTGCAAGCAGTGACATATCTCCTCGGCATCTCTCTTTTCTCGATTTCCTTTCTCGTCTTTCTCAACAGCAGCGTATCGTTTGTCATTACCGACTTAATTGGCGTCAAGGATGGCGTCGGCGACATCGTCGGCACTCTCGGCTTCGTCGACGAGCTTGTTGCGCTCGTCGCATGTCCGGTTTGGGGATTGATCTCGGATCGGCTCGGCGTAAGATGGGTGGCCGTCATTGGATATGCCGTCATTGGCGCTGCCTTGATGCTGTTCGTCCAGGCGCGCAATGTGTATCCTCAGCTTCTTCTGGCGCGCATCTTCTTTGCCATCGGCGCGACTGCCGCGTGAGTAGCTCCAGCCGAGGTTGTAGACGGAACAAGTGGACTGACGGTATCGCACAGCGCCACGATGGTAACGGCTATTTTGCCGTCTCTGACAGACGATAACGACAAGACCGACAGCTCACCGAATGTTGCGAAGCCCGTCCACAATCCCCGAAACAGCGTCGCAATGTCGCTCGAGTCCGACATGACCATCACCCCGGCACGCTTTCACGGAATCGGCGGAAACGGACAGGCGGCGGGCGATGTAGACGAGGCGAAAGCTGGAAAGCCATCGGCTCTCGCGGGCTACGTTGGGGTCTTTACGGGATGCGGCGCGCTGGTTGCGCTGTCCCTATTCCTCCCGCTTCCAGCTCGCTTCGGCCAGATCGAGGGTAAGCCACAGAGCGAAGCTGTCGCGGACAGCTTTTACGTTGTGGGAGCCGTTGCGTTCGTCGTGGCCATTTTTGTCTTTTTCGGGTTGAGAGACCTGAAAGGCGAGGAGGGTAAGGGCTGGAGCGTTCTGCTCGGATTGAAGAAGACTGGTAGCTCCGAAGACGACACCGACGAGCCCGGATCGGGCCACCCACACCGGCCGGTAAGTTCCTTAATCGCAACCTTCGGAACCTTGCTAATAAGACAACAGAAGGTTCTGCCATACTTTCGTCTGCTCCGAGACTCTATCACTCTTGGGTTTACAGATTCCCAGATCGCCCTGGGGTATTTGGGCGGCTTCGTTGCCCGCGCATCCACTGTCGCCATCTCCCTCTTCCTTCCTTTGTACATCAACACCTTCTTCATTGGTAACGGGTACTGCAAGGGAAACCCAAACGACCCTAATGAAGAATTGAAGAAGGAGTGCAGATCTGCCTACATTCTTGCATCGACATTGTCGGGCGTGGCTCAGCTCTTCGGCCTGATTGCTGCGCCTGCCTTCGGCTACCTGAACAGAAAAAGGGGCCGCTTCAACTTTCCTATCATAATCGCGACTGCCCTCGGAATCGTCGGCTACATTGCCTTCCCTCAGTTACCTAGCCCGGAGTTCAAGGATGTTGACGGCAGAGGTGGTAGCCCATTTGTGTTCCTTCTGGTCATTCTCATCGGTATCAGTCAGATCGGCGCCATTGTCTGCAGCTTGGGCTCCCTCGGCCGTGGTGTTCTTACCGCAGACATCCCCAAATCCCAGCAAATTGACACGGTCGAGGACTCGGCGGAGGCCATGGAAGCCTCAACGGAAGCTGCGCCTCTGCTGCAGCATAATGCCAGCGTGGACGCAGTGTCGCGAGTGCGACTGAAGGGCTCCATCGCTGGCATGTACTCCTGGTTCGGCGGAGCAGCGATCCTGCTGCTCACGAAGCTGGGAGGCTTCATGTTTGATAATGTGTCTAACGGCGCGCCGTTTTACATGATGGCGTCATTTAACGCCATTCTTCTCATTGCCAGTTTGGGCATTGATGCGGGTCGTCTTTACAGAGACCGCCAGTAATGATACACATCAATAGAAACGAGAAGTATACTTAGCTTGCAATATTAAATTTCTTCTTTTTGCGCGGTTCTCCTCTCTCGTCCGTATTATTCCTTCGTGGATGATAAAGAGACGGCGGCATACTCACATGTACGAGCCTCCATACGCTAACAGCCCAGATTAGGATATATATCGACAGCAGTATCCATCTCAACTATGAACTACGCCCACATGACTTACTCAATGATTAGACGGGGCCGCGGCATGAAAATCGGCTCCTCGTCCTCGGGAATGGTCTCCAACTGGCGAGGCACAAGGAGACCCGCGCGGCGCTGCTTCGGCCGGCGTCTACTAGGCTTGGCGCGAACCAGCTTCTGCCGGGACCAACGCTGCCATCTCTCCCAGCGCCGCCGCTTGACGACGTCGCTGCGCTGCCCCGAGACCCAGTCCTCAACAAAGCCTGGATCCGAGCCGGTGGGACGTCTCGAGGCGGTCACTTCGAGACCGTGGAGGCGAACAGTAAAGTCGCTCGCGGCGTCGTCGTCCAGCGCCTCGCCCAGGGTCTCATTCGCGGGGCCGACGAGCTGCTGGTCCTCGGAGTCGACGACGACCCCGCGCTCGACGTCGTACTTCACCTCCTGGAAAGAAACGTTCAGGAAACCCGACAGCCCGCACGCGTGGCACACGGAGGAAGGAGACGCGATGGAGCGGCTGCGGCGGCGCTTGAAGAGACGTCTGAGGCGGTTGAGCGGGCTGCTGCGGTCTCGGGCGGCGCGGCCTGCGGTGCAGTAGGGGCAGCTCGTGGAGATCGTCAACAGAGCTGAAGGGACGCCGGGAGGGGTTTGTTTGCGGAGGGGCATTTTCGGTTCGGGGGAGTTGGTTCGCTTGTCGAGGGTCGTCTGGTCTGTTCGAGAAGCTGTTGATACGAGACAGGATAATCAGAGACTCGCCGTCGGTCTTATACATCGCAGCGAGTCGACTATGCAATTCGACAATGACCAGTCAAGTATCATGACAAAGGGGTGCGAACAATGGCATCGCTCATGGTCGAGGCCGTTTCGTTCTTTCTTGCCGAACATTGTCGTTGTTGTATGATTTTTTTTGTGGTTTCCAAACGCGTGTTGCTTTGTGTTGTCGTTCTATCTATGACACTCGGGTCCGTAGTTCGTGAAATCGTGTCTCTCAAGTCTTTGAACCATTGTTCATACGGCGGGCCTGAGGGCCGGCGGGAGATTCAATGACTTTTTGCGCGAGGATATTTCGATTGCTGACGAGTTCGATGCTGAGTATCTGATAGTTGGCTTGTTTGGGGAGTAGCTCTCGGATATCGCGCCATCGATTGGCATAACATTGCATCCTGAAAGTCGTGATGACAATGTCCTCTCTATTCTGAACACGCGGATATAAGTTCCGGAGAAGTTGCGCTAGGGGCCTGGGCGTAGCGATGATTGTACTTCAGCATGAGATTAAAGCTATGGATAAGTTCTGTAGAAGCCGGGTTGTTCTGGCCCCAAGAGTTAGGTTGGAGACGCGGATAAGTTTTGCAAAGGTTGGGCTGATGCTTTAGACGCCTTGATTACACTGTCCTCTGGCATTGGGGAGCGCAGGACCACGAGAACCGGAGATGGTGCGAAGAAAACAATCAAATGGACTTATACGCAGATAGAGGTGGAAAACGTCGAAGGAGATCAACCGCAATCGTTAAGCTTTGGTTTCCAACATTCGTGGGTCTCCAATTATCTATATACAAGAATATGATTTAAGGTCTACTACTACCTTGTCTGGATTGGCCTCTCCCGTTTCCACGGGCTGCCGTAGGACCTCCGTCTTCAAACAAAATTACCATCCCTTCCCAGAGATATCGTTACCGTATCCCGCCTGAAATCGCCGTTCGCGCCTTCGATGATGCCTTTACCGCGTTCCCAAGTTTCGTCAAAGAGTGTGACTGGGTATATTCATATCCGTGATGCTGTCGTAGCCGTTGAATTGTCGTTGAAATCATTCAAGAAATTATCATTATTCGAAAGATCCCCAGAGCCGTATTTCTACGTCCGGGGATCCGTGTGGAAGTGAAGAAGGAAACGTTCGCCTCGTCCCCGTAGCCTGTGTATCTGGAGCAAGTGCTCACAGAAGGGCGACGGCGCCGAAGAGGCCGGCCAAGAAGGCCGCAGCAGGAGCCTTCTGGGCGTTGGCGGCAGCCGTAGGGACAACAACCGGGGCTGTTGACGCAGCCGTTCCCGGAACCGTGACAGCACTTGTTGTCGGGACTACGACAGTCGAGGGGGCGTTGGTCAAAGTCTGGTGGACGGTGCCGGAGACAGTGACGAAGACCCAGGACTTTTGAGTGACGACCTCCTCGCCTCCAACAGTGACAGGGACAGTGACGTCGATGTGCTTTGTTGAGGTTACGGGGATGACCTCAGTGATGGTCTTCAGGGCAGTGACGTAAATCTTCTTCGTGCCCGTGCTCGTGACCCAGATCGTCTCGCCGTGCTCGACGGTCTTGTAGGTGGTCTCGGGCTTCGTAATGGTCTCGTAGACTTCGGTCTCCACGTGCTTGGTAGTCTTGAGGGTGGTGTAGACATCCACTGTCGTCTGGACCTTGGTCACGATGGTGGAGGTCGTGGTGTACACAATCGTCTCAGTGTGACCATCGACGATCTTCGTCTCCGTTACGGGGCAAAGAGTGGTCAAAGTCGTGTACTCAACGTCCTTCTCCGTCTTGGTGACATCAGGAAGCTTCTCAGTCTCGTACACCTTCGTGGGGACCTTCGTCACGATCACCTCGGTCTCGGTAATTGTGGTGGTGTAGGTCTTCCCCTCCTGGGTGATGGTCTTGGTCTGTCTCAAGTTAGAAGAGTCCTGGAGTTGGGTCATCATTATTAACTTACGTGCGGAATGAACTTGGTGATGGTGGTCAACTCCTTGTCGGTCTCGGTGACGACGGCTGTTGGGCCAGGAACAGTCTCGTAGACCTTGGTGGGCTTCTTCTCAATGATGGTTGAGAGCTCAGTCACGGTGGTCACATATGTGTGGCCATCACCAGTCACAGTCTTGGTCTATGAATGCTATTAGCTTGGGCATCGCATTTTCGTCTTTAATTGCGAACATACAATCGGGCACCAGCTGGTGTACGTGGTGTAGTCCGTGTCAGTCTTGGTGACGTGCTCAGTAGGTCCGGGAACTGTCTCATAGATCACAGTTGGAATCTTGGTCGTCAGAGTTGAAGTCTCGGTGACCGTCTCGTAGTAGGTCGTGCCAGGCCCATGGTGCGTCTTGGTGATCGGGCACAGAGTTGTTATCGTCGTGGTGATCTCCGTAGTGATGGTCTTGGTCTTGTCTTTGCCCTTGTCGTGATCCCAGTCATCGGTGGCAATGACGGTGGCAGCCAAGGCCAGGAGAGCAGAGGTATACTTCATGGTTGCGGGTTTAGGTGAGAGCAATCAACGAAAGATACTCCTTGTAAACGATGGTTGGAGGAAGCGAGGGTTGTGACTTGAGCGAGAGTCTCTTAAGTAACCTTAACGAACGAGTTACTTGACAGCACAGCGAGGTGGTTGGCTAGGTGATGAGATGAGAGGCTGGAGAGAGCTGCAAGAGGATGGAGACTCGAGAAGAGAAGGTTCGAAGAAGACGGGATGGCTGGTATGCTTATATCTTGAGGCCGAACTGGCGGCCGGCATGCCCGGGCATCCTGCTTGCCGACCAGCATGGAAGAAAGAAAGAAAATGCGGAGGTTGCGATGACAATTTTTGATCAACCAACAGCTCTCGACGATCTCCACTGCGGCTTGCATTAGTCCTGGGCCATGTGGACAACAGACAGGCCATAGTCTGACCCATGATGGGGTGGTAGAGGGACAGGGAAGAAGATGCCAAGTCTGTGATACGAGAAAAGGCGATCTTGTTGATGCAGAACAGCTGTTGGAGAGAGTCTGGAGCTCGATGTGTGGCTGGTGAACAGCTCCGATGTAAGAGTGAACCAATGACGCCCGAGGCGTGAGTAGATGGATTGACCAGTCTCGGCCGAACAATCCCAGAAAAGACTCTACCAATAGGCAAGACGAGAAGCACACGCCTTCATGTGTGCGTAGCGCGACTGCATGTAAGAGACGAGGTTGAACGACGACAACAGGAAGGCTCGACAAGGTTCAACGCTACCCATGTCAGATTGACAGTCATATTAGTAGCTTGGTCGATGGCAGTGACGAATAAGAAAACCCGAGGTAGCTGACTAGGGCCGATGGCATCGCGTCCTGCAGAGAGGCCAGGCAGACCGCCCCGGCCCTTGTCAATGATGCCGCCTGAACGTTGAGGCGGACGCGATGCTTGGCCGCGCATGCTTGATGGATTGCTAGTTTCTTGTCGGGCACGGCCGGCTATGACGATGATGGCACACAACGACGCGGTTAATATAACTCGGGTGTTATGGTGAGCTCTTCAGGATCGCTCGGTCCAATAGTGACCCAAGGGACTCACTGCAGGCTGCGATGAAAAGGCAGCGCTGCTTTGCGAGGGCTTTTTGTCAGTCTCGTCTGATTTGCCGGTCCGCGCAGCGAGCAAGGCAGCACTGCAGACCGAGGAGTGACGATGATGTTTGTTGGCAAACAAAGCTACGCTCCTCGTCGACGTGCTGCAGTCAAGAGCTAGTAACACGGCTCTACTGTGGACCAAGGCTTTCGTGGCGGACCTCATCTTGAAGTCGTCAAAGTCAAGTTGAGGCTTTGGAGGCGCTATTTCGTACAATAGATAACCTTAAGCCGATGCTATCATCTTTTTCTAGCCGCATTTGTGTTGCTACACTTGCCGATAAAGGCTGTGCAAGGAGGGGGTTGGAGCGAAGCACAAAGATTCTCGTTGTCAAACGCAGAACGCTCCTCTACTTGCGTAGAGGAGGGCTCGTGTCCAGGTCGTGGCACCACGGCCAAGGATCTGCAGCTTGCGGAATAGGGCCAATAGAAGAACGCATGATGCAGCTAAAGTGCTTGGTGTACAGGAACGCGTCCAACCAGTGATGTAGCTCAGGTCCGGACGAGGTACAAAACTTGCTTTGGCATGGTCGGCAAACTTTGTAGACGAGCCGCGTCCATGGTAACCAGGTCAGCACCAGGAGGATCGAGAAACCGGATGTGATTGAGCTGCTTCCCATCTTCCTGCGGGTAGCAAGATGTGGCTGGTGATGTCAGCTTAACGGCTCAGATTAGCTGGACAAAATTGCCGCCAGAGTACGCCAAGAGCAACCAACGCCTGGTAAGTATGCGTACAGTAAAGTAGGGTAATCCGACGTCAAGAAATGGGGGAAAACTCAGAAGTGCCGCTGTTGCCCGAGTATTCCCAGCAACCGCCTGAGTGGCTCAACGTTTCCCGCGGAACACCCCTGGTTCGCCCGAGCTGGCACCAGTCGCACTGAACCCATGTGGTGATTGCTAGCAGAAATAGCAGTATTTGCCGACCCGGGCGAAAATACTATGAAGTGAAAAGGAACCCAGGTAGTATGCGGCTTAATGTGGGTAGATGGGCTCGATGAACACAGCACGCCATTGCGGTCGGGGATGCTGATGGTGCGTTGGTCAGCAGGATTCGAAATATTGAAATATTGAGGACTCGACGTGGTGAGAATGAAATCAATGCCGACTAGCACAGCGGATGGTGGAGATGGTAAAGATGTCAAGCCCTTGGCCCTTGGAAGCTACCTGGTACACGAAAATGAGCCAGAGCTCGGTAGCACCGCGGCTTGCTCATGTATAAGTCGAAAATCCCAGCTGAAGCTGCTGACGGTCAGCAGGTGAGAAATCCACAGCATTTTGTTCTCGCATGCCATGTCTCTCTATTCCTAGTCTCGTGAGGTCGGTATGTTTGTTCTTGTGTCCCCGCGATAGGTAATCCTCAGTTGTCTTGGAGTTGCGCAGCGTTGGGCCGTTCCGAGACATACGCTGTCTTGGTTGTGAGATTGAGCCCATCGTCCGTCCGTCGCCTGTCCCTACAACCGGCATCTGGATGGGCGACTACGGTACCACGATGGCTGCTTGATACCACTAACATGGGCGACTCTCGTGACTGACTTCTTCCTAGAGGAGGATGAACGACAACAGACAGGGCGGGGCGGGGCGGCGTGGCATACTTCCAACGGGTGGTCCGCGGCGGTCGTGCAAGATGGCTGGCGTGATGATGGCTTTGTCGGGTGCGGCACAGATGCCCAGACTCTGATCAGAAATTGGCTGCAGGTTGAATATGCAGTCGAGGACGGGTCGAAGTCGAGAGAAGTGGGTTGTGGCGCCTAAGCCCGACGCAAGTCGGTGTGGTGTGGGTGATGTGGGAGGTGTGGGGAACCTGGAAGACGTGGAATATTGGATCCTAGACTGGGGATAGCCTGTAAGAAATGACGAACAGCTCACCAAAGGATGAGCAAGAACCAGGCAGGAAAACACCAGGCGAGAAGAAAGGAAAGGAAGACAAGGTTGAGTTAGACGGGATGGCTGCCCTGTTGTCCACTCAACCGTGATCTTGGCTTTCGACACGGCAAGAGTTTCCGGCCCCCAAACCCGACAGCAATACCAACAATTAGGGCAGCAGTTCGCCGTTGCTGTATCTGCAGAAGCAGCGAACTGTCTAGACTCTGGACGCCTATTATGCAGCCACAATGCGAATCGAACAAGATGTGCTTTTTCTGCCAGGCATGCATAATGCAGAAAACTGCATCCAAATTGCCTATACGAGCATCGGACGTTGACAGAGGAAACCAACTGTCTCTCTTGAATAAGCATAAGATGGCGGGGTTCCCGGGAGATTTGCATAAGGTACCTAAGGTAAGGTCGGTATTCGTAGGGCGATTTATGAATCCGCCCAGTGGGACCCGAGAATCCGAGGTGCTGCCACCTCAGATCGTGATGCTCCTCCTCCACCGCCCCTCCCGGCATATTTCCCCCCTCAGGTACCGACCGCCGCCCTTAACCCCATCTTCGTTAGCCTTATTGTCTGAGTTATCCGCGAGCTGGTCATCAGCCACGCCCTGGTTCTCCCGTCGTTCTATTTCTCCCATTTTACCACGTCTGGAAAAGTGACTTCTGCCATCCATCTCATGTTGATTCTGGCGCCTTCCTAGGCTCGTGCGCGGGTGCACCTACCTTACCTTAATCCGAGTCTGTGCGCTTACCTTAAACAAGTGGGTCATTCTTAAGTGGAAAAGGTACGTACTCCGTACCTTCCATTCCAGCGTCTCCGCCCAACCTCCATCTTTCTCTCTGCGCTTTCAAATTTATGCCGCTTCCTTGCGGATGGATCATGGCATCAGCTTGCCTTGCGTCATCAACACTAAATCGCCTGCTTTTCTGCCTCTTGACTGCTTGGACTTCCATAACGCCGACTTCGGAAAATCCCTCAACGACGCAGCTTTCCTGACTGACCAATGTCAGACGAGGGCTAAGACGCACCAGTGTACGGATGCCTAGCTAGGTAGGTAGCAACGTGACCGTTCTCTACAGCTCTCGCTCGCATTTCTTCCGCTTTTCCAATTGCCAGTTATGCCACTTGGTCAAGAACTGGTTCTCTCCGGCCACGAGCGCCTGCGTCGTTCCAGGCACTGCGCACACGACACCAAGTCTCCGTCAGGCAGATCGCCACGAGAGGTCAGCATCGGTACCCACCTCAGCAGATAATGATGTTCTTTTGTTTGGTGATTGCGCCGCTCAACCGTTCCCGCCGACTTGGCCCAAGTCTAGACTTCTTCGTCTCCACACTATCATAGGTTGTCACTATCCATGCCTACCTAATAATGCGGTCTTCGTCACATAAGAAAGCCTATCACACTTGACCAGCGACCCGCTGGAGTGATCGCCAGAGCTCCACTACCACTTGACCTCTCTCTCTTTTCTCCGACTGTTCCTGAGCATTCCCGGCTTCTGCACATCTTGGCAGGAACATCGGCGATTTGGTCTTTCCAAAGCTGTCAACGGGTCTTATTCGATGATGCTAGGTGCCGGAGACATGTTCCGAAAGTACTAATTAGCCTGACCATCTCGCCAGACTCTAGAACGGGACCATATTTGTAAGTTATGCCCCAACATAGCCTGTCAAATGTGTAGAACATCTTCAAAACGTTCTCAACTTCAAGATCAAGACAGATGTCAAGTGAAGAGCAAATGCGCAGTTAAAGGTCATATGGCTTCCTAAAAACACCATGCGTCTAACACGAGGAACAGAACAATACAAGTGATCCCAATCTTACAGTCTCTACCCACGACCTAAGACTCCAGCTCGATGATCTGGCCCATCATGGACTGCAAGTAGTTTATCTGCTCTTGCAAGAACTGCCTCGTTTTGGCGATGTTGTAGGGGCGTTTCTCCACTTCTCGGCGGCGCTCTTCCCTGAGTTTACCTCGGATGCGCTCCTCAAGATTTTCCAGTCGGTATTCAGTGTACTGAGTATATAAGTCGCTCGTGTAACTGATAGGTCGGACGCCGGTGAGGATAGACTCGTCTCTAACAAAAGGTGACTTCGGTCTGAACGCAGTAACCATGGCGATGCGCTCACGTCCACCAAAGGCCTTCAGAGCCTGATGCCGGATGTACCGACCCTGCATCACAACGGCAGTACCCTAGGAGTCGTCAGTCCGGACAAGGGTAATACGTGAACGGAAACATACCATAGCCGGCCCTCTGACCTTTTTAATCTCTCCGCCTGGCAGCTGGATCGCTGTCTCACCACCCACCATGCCGGTGCAGTCGGAGGCCATGGTCACACAAACAAACGGGTAGCTGTCGTAGTGCCAACCGACTGAGGATGTCTGGTCGCCCGAACCCACCGTCGGGATGTTCTGGTCGTTGATCGAGATGTTGACGTTCGCAATCTCGTAGTCAAAGGCGGGCACAAGTTCAACCCCGGCGACCTCCGACACGATTCTCAGGACCTCCGGGGATAGCCAAGCATCGAAGCAGAAAGGAGCCATCCTCCGCGAACGTCAGCAAGCCATCACACATCTTCATACCATTCAAGACGCGAGCTTACTCGGGTTTCAGGCCTCGTATCAAATTCGGCGTCAAATCCGTCGCGAATCGGCAGTTCTCGAGCGTCCAGTCATCAAAGAGCTCGGCCCGCATCTGCAGCATGGCGTCTTTGGTGAAGAGCGGGAATGGGTCTGACACAGCGTTCTTCGAGATGCCGTGGCCCTCGAGGCCGATTTCCTTCATGGTGACGATGTTCTTGGGGGGCTCGAAGGCGAGGTGCTCTTTCGCGTTCCAACGGACACGCTTCGTCGTGCGAGCCTCGTCGACGATGAAGTCGGGGATTTCCTGCGTCGGACGAGTTGGCTTCTTCACCTTTGGTCCTTCGACATAAGGCGCCTCCGGAGGCGAGACTTGAGGAGCTTCGATATCGAGGGCGGGCATTTTGGTTAGTTTCAAGCAATGTGTGGTGGAAAACCAGGTGCTCTAATGAGGTATAATTATGGTAGATATTTAGAGTTGATAGTGAGAAAAAGTTGATCTTCGAGCTTATGGTATTACTAAAGGCATCGAGGATATTGCTTCATCATTTATAGATGGTGTTCCTTGCTGTCAGTGGCGATGTCTTCGGATGCCTTATCTTTCTCTAGGTGGTTCTCGAAGAGGCGGATATCACGTCCGTGATATCCGGTTATCAGAACCAACCTCGTGAATGCGGACACGGTTTCTCAACCCGACTGGACGCGAAGCTGTCTCGGCAGAGATAAACAGACGTGTATTTCTGCCTTAACTTGACGATCAAGATGTGACCCCGCTCGTATCGGTCAAACTTAGATTTGGCGGCCATGCGAAATCGCAGCCTCACTTGTACCCCATATAAGAAGTGAGGTCCGAGTAAGGACATTGGGACCGAGGACTATCATCCGTGACCATTTTGGCGGCACAACTCAAGTTGGAATCATGCCGCATCGGGCAAAAAGAAGCATCTTATCTCCTATCTCGATCATTATGTGTTGTCAATGTCCAGCGTTTCACTGCTGGCTCCATGAGAGCATCTCTGGTAAGGTAGGGAGAACAATGTCCGGCGGGCCGACGAGACGCGTTGATCGTTTGGATTGTTCGCAACCGCCTTTCTTGTCTCGATGTCGTTTTGTGACCCAATCAATACTTCCCTCGCTCTCTTTTTCTCACTTGGTTTGATGATCCTGATAACACACAAGCAAGAAATAGTCTTGAGTTCCGGCTGGCCGACGACGTCCTATCTTATCACAATTTCTCAGTTGCATAATCCGTTTTTGGCAGTATAAACTCTCTTCGTCGTGTGTTCTTCATCATTCTCATCTTCAACATACAACCGTGTCACCAACCATAGTGTCTACTTCTCCACAACGTCAAAAATCCACCACTATGTTCGACGTCGTCGTTATCGGTGCTGGCATGGCCGGCCTCCAAGCTGCATATTCCGCGAAACAAGCAGGTCTGTCCATCGTCGTTCTCGAGGCAAGAGACCGTGTCGGAGGCAAAGTCTGGAGCATTCCCCTAGCATCCGGAAAGGGCGTCGCCGATCTTGGAGCCGCCTGGATAAACGACAAGCTGCAACCCCGCGTCACGGCCTACGTTCGCCAATTCGGGCTGGACACAACCGTGCAAGCCATCGACGGGGTCGCCATCATGCAAGTATCAGAGGACCAGCGGCTCGAGTTCCCCTTTGGCATCGTGCCTGATGTAAGTCGCCCCGGAATATCGACACATGCCGTCGCTGATACCTTGTTAGTTTCCAGAAGAAGAGAAGCAGAACCTGATCAGAATCCGCGACCATATCGAAACTGTCGCAACCAGGAAGGAAGCCCCTCGATCCGAGGATGATGAGATCTCGCTCGACACATACGTCCGCAACCTCGGCGCGAACGACAAGACCGCCAAGATGGTCAACATCTGGGCGCGCGCCATGCATGGTCTGGAATCCACGCAGGAATCGGCTGCCTACTTCATCGATTACTGCCGTAGTAACCACGGTCTTCTCGCCATCCGAGCGGATGATCAGACTGGTGGTAACTATATGCGTCTTCAAGGAGGTAAGTCTACGAATGCAGTATACCGTCGCCTGGCATTTCACTGAACTATCCTAGGGACAATGCAGATCGCTCGCGGTATGGCTGGCCTGGTTGGGGAGGAGAACATCTTCCTTTCCGAGCCCGTGGCGTCGATCCATGACCATAACACACAGGTCGCGGTCACTACCACAACGGGAAAGATTTTCAGAGCACGAAAGTGCATCATATCTGTGCCCAGTGCCTTGCTGAAGGACCTCAAGTTCACGCCCAGCCTCCCGGCTCCCGTCCAGCAAATCGCCAACTCTTCCCGGCTTGGAAATTACAACAAAGCCATTCTTTTCTACGACAAGCCCTGGTGGGAAGATCTCGGATACAACGGTTTCTTCTTCAGCTACGTCGGCCCGATCAGTATCGCCCGGAACTCAAGCGTGCCCGAGAAGGGCCACTATGCGCTGACGTGCTTCATCAACGGAGACCCCGGTGAGGCATGGAGCAAGCTGCCCGCCCACGAGCGTCGGCATGCAGTATTGAATCAGCTGGCTTCTGTCTACAAGGCCGGGAAGGACTCCGATCTTTGGCGCCCCCTGGAGATATTCGAGCAGATTTGGAAGCATGAGCAGTACAGCCAGGGCGCTCTGGCTCCTATTCCTGCTCTGGGGCACTATACCAAGTTCGCGTCTGTCTATGGGAAGTCGGTGGGAAACTTACACTTCGTCGGGACGGAGTATGCGAACCATTGGAAGGGTTACATGGAAGGTGCCCTGACATCGGGGGCTGAGGGCGCACGCGAAGTTGTAGATGCCATTCGACACAATCCGAAGGCTCATTTGTAGAAGAATCTCATATTGACAGTCGGTAATCCAAATACACGTACTTCTCTCAACTCAACATCAAGCGTACGTCTGATCTCTCCACAATCTCCCGCCAGTAGCTCGTTGTCCTATTCCTCGCCGAAGGGCCAGTCTCCCAAACCTCCTTCAAAACCCCCACCCCCGTCCTCAGCGCCTCGATCCTGTAGACCTCCACATGCTCATACCAGCATCTAAAACGAGCCTGCAGCCCCTCATCAAAAGCTTCGCTGCCCGCGATGAAAGCCGGCCAGTACAACGGCGCAGCCAGCGCCTCCGTCCCCGACTTAAGCCTCTCTATGGCTTCCATGCTCTCCAGAACGGCGGTGACGTATGGCAGGAGGAATCGGTGACCGACTAGGCGCACGTGCTGGGCAAAGTAAATCACGAGCGCGTTGTGAAAGGCGATGGTGTGTTGGTGTATGATCTTGGACTTGGTCGAGATCGCCTGTGCGGCGCATTGCTCGAGACATGCGTTGGTGGGCCAGTCCATGATGCTCTTCTCCAAGTCGTCACACTCGTCGACGAGGTGATCTGGTATGATTGCGGTAGGATTCGCCTCCTTCGCGTCATACAATTTGTCAATCAGACCAATGACTTTGGTCAACAGGAAGAGCAGAGTATGTGGTATGCCGTAGATTCTCTCGCAATTGCTGATGCGGGTCTCGAGGTCTAGGTCCAAAGTCGACTTGTATCCCAACATCTGGTTGTAGAGAAGTCTCTGGCAGAAGACGTCATCTTGGTCGTCCGAACCAGCGTCAGTATCAACATCGACAGTGTCGACAGAAGACAGGAACCGTCGACTCGCACGATGAAGCCTTGGAGCCGTGCTTTCGAAGATTGCCCGTAAGTAGAAGTATATGCGATGGAGAGACTGGGCTTTATGCGAGTACTTGCTCTTCCATTTCCGCGCCTGGTTGATGAGATTGAAGGCCCCGTCTAAATGAATACCGCAGGTCTCCGTGTCCCCCGAGATAACCTCAAAGTATTGTTAGTGAAGGTGTACTCAAACGTCGGAAAACAGGACTCACGTTCATAGTAATCATCGAGAGAGTCGTCGCCAGAAAATCCTTGTATTTAGGCCTTGACTTGGAGTGGAAGTCGTTGTTGGCGGCGTCCCTCAGCAGTTTGATAGTCCGACATCTGTAACGATTTGCTGCCGCTCTCCAGTTGAGGGCTTCATCTGTTCTGCATGCTGCGCTGTTGTCGTTGGATAGAAAGAACGCACTGATGCCGAGCAGTGTGCTCGTTAGAGCATTTCGTATCGTAGAAGTCGATCCGTATATGGTCATCTCCCCAGCGGATTCGAGAAGCTTGGGGAGGTGAACTGTTTTCCATGGGCTTTTCTCGTGGTCTATGACGCAAAAAATGTAGAGAACTCTCTTGGAGTAATGGTGCATCAAGAATCTTTCGTTGACTGAAAGGCAGGAGGACGAAGTAGGGTTTTGGGTTAAATAAGGCGATGTTGATTCGTCACCATGGGCAGTCAAGGCGCGAACGTCAGCTTCCTCGACGGTGTGGGAGTTGATACAGGGTGTGATAGTAGAGTCATCAGGAACACAAGATATTTCTGTGGGTAAATCGGGGGTTGGAATGTCAAACTCGAGAATCTGTGAATGATCCAGCACGTTTAGATTCAGAGAGTCCCAGGATGCGATTTCCGAACTGTCTTGCTCTAGATCCGGAATGTGACTCAATTCACATGAAGCGTCTGTGAGACCAATTTCGAAAAGATCATCCAGCTGGACATCTTTCCGAGAGTATTCGTTACGATTTTTAGTATTTGAGCCGAACACTCCGAAGCACTCGATTAGTAGGGAGACACCTTCGTTGTCAGTGGCGTCCCCGCGAGACTCGACAGAGTCGAGAGTATTGAGGATATGTTCCACTCGACCGTAAGGCAGAATGCGTCGGTGAGGGTCTAAGTCACCCGTCAGAAATAACATCAGATACGTTTGTCTTGAGTGTATACCAGGCGCTATCTTGCTTCTCGCCGCAGCCGGTGAGGTCGAGTCCTCGCTGCCGTTGCCATTCACCCATTGGAGTTTCACCCCATAACCCTCACACTCGGTACCTTTTCGACGACACTGACGGCAACAAGGTTTCGCTTCATCGCACTTGACTTTGCGTGCTCGGCATGTCCAACAACCGGAGAAAGTCTTAGCATGCTTCCTGAGCCGATAAGAGGGGCGACGGTTGCCCGGCATGGAGGAGGTCGACGTATGAGACTAGGGTTGTGAACCAAATTGTATGTTAAACGAGCAAAGAGAAGAAAACCAGGACCGAGAGCAACGATGAGGAATCAGTGGAATTGTAAGGCGTGCTCAATACTGGGTGATGCTAACAAGATGCCGACTCGGGGACTGATCCGGGCGGGGTAAGGACGAGACGCACTCCGGACCCACCCTACCTAGTTGTTCGGACCTCATTGCCCTGCTCGCTCTTGTTAGCCACATTCCTATCTTCTGATCGATAAGCATATCGACCCTGATAATCAATCAGACCATCGAACACAGAACTCACCTAGCTATCAGTGCTATCTTTGATGTCCTGCATAAGTATCCAAATGGCTCGGTTGAGTCTTATCTACAGAAGCGTAAGTCAAGGTCAATGAGATAAACTTTACACTATTGAACCTGCCGTTCACATCGTGTCAAGCATGTCTACCACTACTGTCACCCAAGTTGCCATCAGAAATGAGTCTGTGAACCAAATCAGCCCATCCGTCGTGGAAGACGGCAAGCTCGACCAGACTTTCACAACGGGCGGATATCCATTCCCAGGTGTTCCGCAGTTTGACGACTTGTACAAGAAGCGACAATGGCAACTGGAACATATGGCTGCTGCGTTCAGAGTCTTTGCCCGAAAGGGCTTCACAGAAGGCACCGCTGGACATATCAGTGTCCGCGATCCAGTTCAACCAAACACCTTCTGGATCAACCCGTAAGTTGTCATACAACATTTGCATCACACGGCTGACACTCTTCAAGTTTCGGGGAACATTTTGGCATGCTCAAAGCAAGTGACATGGTCCACATCAACGAGGAAGGTCAAGTCATTGGCGGAAACAAAGTCGCTGTCAATACGGCCGGCTTCCGCATCCACGGCGCTATTCACAAAGCCCGCCCAGACATCAACGCTGCCTGTCACACCCACTCGCCCGCGGGGAAGGCGTGGTCAACATTCGGTCGCCCGTTAGATATCATTAGTCAGGATACGTGCACCTTCTCAGGTATCCAGGCAGTCTACTCAAACTTTGGGGGCATCGTTCTCGGAGAGGATGAGAGTGAGAACATTGCCGCAGCTCTCGGCAAAAAAAACCGGGTTGCTATTCTGCAAAACCACGGGATCCTCACGGCGGGAGCCACTGTTGACGAGGCAGCATATCTATTTACGCTGATGGAGAAGTCCTGCGAGGTGCAGATCATGGTCGAGAGTACGCGGCTCACAAAGAATCTCATCAGCGAGCAAGAGGCTGAATATACCGCCAAGATCTACCAAGATCCAGTGAGTAACGATGATTTCGTTTACATGGTGACGCATGTGGCTTATACATATCATCTAGGCAACCCTTTATATTGAGTTTCAGCCAGACTTCAAGTACGAGGTTTATAAGTCCAACGGGGAACTGAGTAAGGATGTCTGAGGTGAAGGGGAAGGGGAAGTAAATCATGCTGTTTTGGAATTAACCTATAGTGTAATTGTCTCTCTTCTAGTGTATCTTTCTAATTGTACGGGTTTCCCGTCTTGAAATCAGGCGTCCAAAGACCCTTCTCCTCCTTCACCTTCAGCTGCAAACCCTTCATGATACCATAAATCACACGCAGTGTAGGAGTAGGAACACCCAACCTCTCACCCTCACGCATTGGCTCTCCAATAAGATTCTCAATCTCCATCAGATTCCCCTTCTCGTAATCCTGGCACATGCTAGGCTTAAAGGCAGTGTCATCAGGATCTTGGTGTATGACTGCGTCGACGAGGTCGGGCTGCAACGTCACCCCAATAGCTTCGGCAATAGCACGAATCTCCAGGACGATGGGTAAGACCAAGTCGTCAATGACATGCTGGCTCATTCGCATCCGCGGAGTGTCCATGCCCAGGATAGAGGAGACTGGGTTCATCGAGGCGTTGTAAGCAATCTTACGCCATCGAACTCCTGCAACGTCGGGCTCGTAGACAATATCCAGCTCGCCGTGGGGGTTGTATAGTTTAACGTAGCGCTTTGCAGCTTCTTCGGCGAAAGTGGAGGGTACTCCAGGAGATGAAAAGGCACCGATCTTCTGGCAGTCGGGATCGTCGCTGCGTATTTTCGCGTGGGCAACTTCATTTGCACCGGTGTAAATGACGCCACTAATAAGAGGGTTGGTAGGGAACCGGGATATCAGTGGCTTCTCAATGTTGATGCCGTTTTGAGACAGGACGATGGCCGTCTTTCCTGGAGTCACAGCTGGGGCGATGATCTCAGCCACCGTGGGCGGAACGTCTGGGATATTCTTCGTTGTGACAAGAATGAAATCGAAGGGTGTTGCGTCTCCATCAGAGACATTTGGGACGTGTTTGACAACTTCAGGCGGAGAACTATGATCAGCTGCATGTTCTAGGTCGATTCCCGCATGTGCACCTACTGGCTGCTGGCCTCCAAGCTTTCACTGTTCCCCATTGGACGGATTCAATATCAATCCCATTTTCCACGGCTGCATCGTAGTTTGATCGCATCACAGCCGTGACCTCCGCCAAGCCGCCTTTCTCTAAGGCGTAGGCGCATATGGTGCCAATTCCTCCTGTACCGACGACCAATATTCTGCTCTTGGACATGATGATCGCGATCGACAGACGGAAGGCGGAAGGCGGAAAAAGAAAAGTATCGATAAGCTGCGAGTCGGTTTCTTCCCGTATGTTGGTTGGTGAAGGTCCAGAGTTGAAGAACTCATGTGCATCTCACGTGCGAGTAATCATTCCTAATGCTCGAAAAACGGAGTACCGCACTTCAAATGGCTCTCATTTACATGCCGACATTCAGTTAATCAAGATTGGCTAGGATTTCTTAAGCAGTTCCAAAGAGGGAGTTGAGAGCGAGAATGCCCCGCACCTACTCCTACAGAGCAGGAGTAAGCGACCGGCGATGGCTTCTGAATAATCCAAATGAATGATATCGGCGATACATGTGTCTTATCTCCGCTTGTATCTGCATACTGGAGTCATAACTCTTCTCGGATCGCCAAGGATTCGCATTGAGAAGCCATGTGTCGATGTTTCCTATTCGGATTCCCGTCGCGAGAGTAACCCCGGGGTTGACCTCCGATGCGTTCGCGGTAAAAGTGGACCTATTTACCCCGCATCGCCGCTATGCAATCGGGCCTGGTCCGGAGTCTCAGAACATGCTCCGGCTTCAAGTCCATGGTTGATACAGGAATACATGGCTTGAGAGATCGTTACAAAACCTCATAAGTCTGCGAAATCTAAGTTCTTGGTCGCACATAACATCTCTGCCTAATGTTGCAGGTGACAGATTAACGTGCACGTATACGTCACGCGAAAGGCTGATATCCATTGAAACGGGATAAGAGTCAAGACGAAGGCAGCATGGTCAAGAGCCATGATTACCAAGCACTTCAGAATGGCACTCGACGTTCTTAAGGCTCACTAATCCTCTACTCAGCTTATTCATTGCGATGCAGCCACTCAACACTAGTTTCGTCCAGGATCTGAAAACCCCACACCGAGCCGAGGTCGAGGTCATGCGGAGATCAATTGCGCTTTTGAGAGATGCCGAGGCACCCAACAAGGGGGCTTGAGAATCACTTCATAAAACATCTGGGTTACGGAGGAGAGTGGGAAATCAACAACTCACGTACAATATCGATTTCCTGTCTTCCAATATCGCCGCATCAGAAATTCACAATGGCACGTCTTCCATACCCCAACGTCGACCCGAAAACCGCACCTCTCAACATCCTCAAGTTACTCGCACACACCCCAGCCACAGCCAACCCATGGTCGCAAGTCGGGGCAGCTCAATTCAAGGATCTCAAACTCTCGAGCAAGAACCGAGAGTTGGCCATCCTCCTCAGCACCTCTAAATTCCGTGCTTCGTATGAATGGACGCATCACGTACCGGTGTCTACAAAAGAAGGCGTGACCGACGCCCAGCGTGACGTCCTAGCTCAGGCCGGCAAACAGAAGGGTTTCTTCCTGCGATCACCGCCACAGACTGCCGATCTCTTTACCTTGCAGGAGCAGACGCTGTTGGTGTTTCTTGAGGCGATCATCGATGGGCCGCAGGTCAGCGAGGAAATCTGGAAAAGGGCGAAATCCGAGTTCTCTGACAGGGAGATTGTGGAAATCATCACGCTTCAGGTAAGTCTTCCCGGGTACTCTGGTTGAATATGATTGCTGATTGATCAGGGATTCTATTATACCTTCTCTCGATTGACGACTGTTCTGGATATCGAGCTGGAATCTTTCGCGGGCCCTTCAAAACTATGATAGAATTAGATTACCGCTGTATCCTCGATGCTATTCGTCCATTTAAGGGTTTGTGAAAGAAGACACCCGAATCATTAGCAGCTCTCGTGAGCATATGGTCGCGATTTGTATCGTGTGGCTCGGAGGATAACGCGCGCTCGATTCTTTCGGTATAAAAGCTATTGCAGAACATGCCTTACATAGGATTAGACGACGCACATTAAATTGCCTGTGACTTGTTTTGGATGAGCTGCTTAACCTCAAGCAACACACGACTGGAGCCAAGAAGATTATAGCTTTGAAGCCCTTGATTTGACATTACTTCTCGTCGTCGTCGTCGTCGTCGTCGTGTGATTATTCGTAGATGACACTATTGATTTATCAGCCTGGCAAGTCATCGAGATAGTTGACGTAGCCGGAACAGGCAGTGTGAACGGTGAGCTACTGGTGGGAACATTTCCAATACACAATGACGAGACCCAATGGCCCACTTTGTGCTCAGTTGATGTAAACAACGGTAGTACAGGGCTGTTGTGGGAGATGCGATATAGCGTGAAGCTAGCCTATATCATACGCAATGCTTGTCATTACGAGAAGTTGTTTCCTGTACTACGTATTTTGTCGAGTCCGTTGTACTTTTGCCCGAATGCATATGGATCTGATGACCAGCTGGCGCGGTGAACCAAGCGTATATAGACTAGTCCACTAGTCCTGTCCGCCTTGCCTGACACGTATAGACTCAGAGAATCTAGGCTGATTTCTTGAACCGCGGATGTGATGCCAACATCCAGTATGACGGACAGTATTGCAGGAGATCATCCAGCCACGGAAACAGCAGTCACGCAGAGCAGAACTCCTCAATACGGTCATTCAACTGAGCCTTTGTTCTATCTCAGTTTCTCGCGGTACATGGCGAGCTATTCAAACATCCGCACGCCAAGCCAATCTGCTTTTCCGTTACCGTTTTCCAGTTTGCAATATCAGCCTAAAACATCTCATTTCTCATCAAATCACAACACAGACCTCCCTCTTATGCCTTGAGAATCTTGGTCAACTCCGCAACGATCGCATCACCGACCTCCTTGGTGCCGGCGTTGCCGCCGAGGTCCTTCGTCCGCAGGCCGTTGTCGATAACAGCCTTGACGGCGTCCTCGACGGCCTGGGCCTCCTTGGGCAGGTTGAGGGAGTAGCGGAGCATCATGGCGACGGAGAGAATAGTACCGATGGGGTTGACGATGCCCTGGCCAGAGATATCAGGGGCGGAACCTGTAATTTGATGTCAGCACGCGGCAAGTCAGAGGCAGTTTAGGGGTGGACATACCGTGAATGGGCTCGTAGATACCGTTGCACTTGCCCTTGCCGTCGGGGATACCGCTCAAGCTAGCACTGGGCAGCAGACCAATGCTGCCGGGGATAACGCTGGCCTCGTCGGAAATGATGTCACCGAACAGGTTGCTGGTGACAACAACACCGTTCAGAGCGCGAGGGTTCTTGACCAGGATCATAGCGGCGGAGTCGATGAGCTGGTGCTCGATCTTGAGCTGGGGGAACTCCTTCTCGAAGAGCTCGGTGATGACCTTGCGCCACAGACGGCTGGTGGCCAGGACGTTGGCCTTGTCCAAACTCCAGACAGTCTTCTCACCGCGGGCAATGGCCAGGAAACCAGCCAGACGGCCAATGCGCTCGACCTCCTCGCGGGAGTACGGCTCGCTGTCCCAGGCCTTGCCATCGCCAGTGTCCTCCTTGCGCTCACCGAAGTAGATACCGCCCGTAAGCTCACGGACGATGACCATGTCGGTGCCGCGGCACACGTCGGCCTTGAGGGGAGAGAAGTCGACGAGAGCCTCGGAGGCGAAGCTGCAAGGGCGCAGGTTGCCGTAGGTTCCCATCTCCTTGCGCAGCTTCAGCAGACCCTGCTCCGGGCGCACGGCGCCGGTACCCCACTTCGGGCCACCGATAGCACCGAGGAGGACGGCGTCGGCGGCATTGGCGGCGGCGAGGGCCTCGTCGGTCAAGGGGGAGCCGGTGGCATCGATAGAGGCCTGGTGGATTGCTGATCAGTCGACTGAAGAGGGGTTGAATGCTGGGCGGGATCGGAGGGACTTACACCACCAAGGAGTTGGTCCTGGAGGTTGAACTTGCCAGCGGAGGGGCTGTTGGTCTCAATTGTCTTGAAAACCTACGGGCGAAAATCAGCTTCACGATTCGGGGTGTTACGATTTCCGATAGGTTCGGTAGGCATACCTTGACTGCCTCAGCGACAACCTGAACAGAGTTTCGTTAGCTACGTTCGTCATTCCTCTCCGCCAATCCGGAGCTACCCCATTCGAGAGCTCACCTCAGGACCGCAATGGTCACCACCAAAAACCACAATGTTGTGTGTCGCCATTTTGTCTTTGTTGAAAATAGGAATGGGTGTTGAAGAATTGGAAGAAGGAAAGGGTATCAGATGCAATTGAGCAGATGTAAAGGAGAAGGAGCAAGACACAAGTCAGGTTCAGTACGAAGGAAATGAGTCCGTCCGGTAAACAGGTGAGCTGTTGCCCCGCATCCCGCACAAGATTGAAAAAGTTAGGCGCAGTTTCGACCCCGCCTTCCGAAGTCGGAGGGGTAGCTTCGCCCTGAACTGCCTGCTAAAGCTGAAGCCAGGCCTGTGTCCCCGCTGGGTCCCAGCACCCCACGAAGCTGATCGGAGCTTCGCTCGGCTTGTATCGGCGCCGGTTCGTCCCGGTGACCCACTAATATTCCCCCTTCCGGTCTTGTCTCCGGCGTGCTCCTTCTGTTTCGCATACCTGGCTCGGGAGGAATCAGGCCGAGTGGTGCAATGCCCTGCCGACTTCGATGCCGTATTACTAGCCGGACCGGCTTTTCCGAAATGTGGCATGGCGCAGTTTCCCACAGTTACGAAGACCTTGACTCCTTACTAGTTTCCGGCGACAGGTATTTCTCACTAATTATTCTCGAGGTGTTGTTCTACTCAAACCGAATCGAGGCTTGGTGTTGAATTTGAGTCCTTCGAACTGGTATGTTTCGTGGAGTCCTTCGCGGTGTCCGAGATGCGCGATGGCAATGATGACAGCTTGTCTATGAAGTCCATAAAGTAGGCTATTCCTCGGTGCCCGCGAACAGATGACAGCGATGGAGATACTGTCCCCTCTAGTGCTTCTCTACTACCCTCAGAACGTTCTTTTGAGTAAACACCATGCCAACTCTGCCAGCTAGCAATGCTTCTATCGCGGACGGGGGATAGCTTAACCCTAGCCGCCCTCAGTCATATGCAAAACAGTTCTCAATCACCGCTCAAGGTCAACTTTGCAAGTCGACTGCCACAGCCTGGTCACTTATTCGATACCCAGCCAGCCTGCCAATTACGAGATCAGCTGAGGGCTGGAGTTGTCTTGGCCTGCTTACGCCTGTTTGATTGGTCACAAGGTCTACGGTGCCACTCACTATTCCGACGACAGTCACAGCCTGATTTCTGACATGGTAGAATCGGTTGGTGTACCCGATGCAAAATTACTTGTGTAACGTATACGCCCTCAGGTGGCTGGTTAGTTCCCAGAATTCACGTTCCCGTCTGCTCAGGCTTCGTCACCATCTTCATTGCTCACTGCATGTCCAACGATATCAACTCAAGGAAGCGTGTCTTCTATTTGCTCGTTATTCTCAAATATGGAACAAGGAACACTTGGGCAGGGGTGGAGAGTGAAGAGAAAGCCGGTGCCCCAAGCACCAGAGGAAGGCCAAAGCCTACCTCATGTCGACAACGTCCCGTCTCCCTCGCACAGCCAACTTCGACGTCATGCATCGCATGTAAACCATTCTTTGGCACTCCCGGAGGACGACCTGATCCCTCTCATTCAACTTGAGGAGTATAGGGGGAATACGCCTTCGACCAGGCGAGCTGCTGCAGATAACGACCAGGCAGGAGACGCGCCTGGGTCCGACGATGTTTCTGCGCTGTCAGGAACAGCCAATTATGCCGACCCTCACCAGTCTCCACATTCTTATACTCATTCCGTTCGATCTTCAGAAACGGTAACGATTCGCGAGAGAAGAAATCCTGAGCCAGAACCTCCTGGCGACTGCTTCGATCTTATCCCTTCAAATCCACAACCGTGGAAGACAGTCATCCTGTCTTGGTGGGAAGAATTAGTCTGGTGCCTTGTAAGTATTGCTTCAGTAGGCGCTTTGACTGGTGTACTCCGTCACTTCGACGACAAGCCTCTGCCCCAATGGCCTCTGGGCCTCACTCTCAACACTGTAATTGCTTTACTGGCGACCTTCGCCAGAGCCGCGTTCATCATACCAGTGTCAGAGGGCCTTTCGCAGCTTAAATGGCTTTGGTACCGGAGGGAAAGGCCGTTAAGAGACTTCCAAGATTTCGATGCTGCGAGCCGAGGGGTCTGGGGAAGCATCCAGTTAGTGAAGACTACTAAGGGCTGGTAAGTGCTAATCGAATTGCTTATACATTCTCTTTTCCGGCTAATAAGTTTTCTAGGTCCCCAAGCCTACTTTCGATGATCGTCATCTTGACAGCAATTTTGACGTCAACTTTGACGCAGTCCACTGTGACTTACCCTACCCGCCTGACTCCAACCCTTCCGAAGCCAGTCATACCTCGCGCGGTTAAGCTGTATTCATGGTCACCCAACTTGTACTACTATCGTGTGTACCATTCATGCATCTCAAATTTCAGTGGATGATAGCTCTGCTAATAGCTATGCTTGACAGTTCACGCCGAACTAGAGTTCGACGCAAGCATCCAGGCTGGACTCAGTCACAGTCATGATTCGGAGTTCCCGTTCGACCAACCAAGATGCCCCACCACCGAGTGTGTCTGGGATGTGGTCAGTACGCTCGGGGTCTGCGTCAAGACTTGGAACGTCACCGCATTTTTGAATGTGACTTATGGGGATGGAGATAGCAGTCACGTCCTCAAGTTTGCTTCGCTGCCTAACGGCGCGTACTCAAACCTGAGCATTCTCAGTTCTGGCATGGTAAGCCTCAACAATGGGCAGCAGCCCATGTACACTGCCTTTGATGAGTCAGAGATACCCAAGACTCGAATTTCCGAATTCAGCATTATTTACTCCGTTCACAACCAAGGAGTCCGCGCCGTCGAGGCCATGTTCTACTTTTGCATTCAGAGATACAACGTCTCAGTCCATAACAACATCGCGTCGCGAGAGCTTATCGACGCGACGGTCGATTCGGGTTACTTCTTGTTCAACATAACCCAGACCTCTAGCCCGATCAACCTCACAGGGCTCAAGGTCCCTGGAGAGCCCAACACGAAGTTCCCGTACGGCGGCAGAGTGGTGCCATTGCTTCGGGACAGCCTTGACCACGCGCTCAACGGCACCTTCTCGCAGATATCGAGTCCGGGCAGTGAGCGAGGCCGAGCGCCGTCCCGGTTCTTCAGCGCCTTCGATGAGATGTACACCCCTGACACCAAGCACAAAATGGGAGATGCAGTCACTAATATAACGAACAACGTTGCGAGGAGCTTGTCGAACTCGTGAGTACCTGCTCTTGCCTACTCTGAACAACCCGTGACAGCCGAGCTAAAGGATCGACCTGGAAACACAGCTTACACAGGCTCTCCACCGACCCAGCAAACGTGACGGGTGAGGCGTTCATCACCGAGACTTACGTCAAGGTGCGGTGGGCGTGGCTGGCATTCATATCGTCCCAGATCGTGCTTTCAACCATCGTGTTAGCTGTAACCATTATCCAGGCGAGGAATGCTGGACTTGGAATCGTCAAGAGCTCCACTCTTCCGGCCTTTTTCGTCATAGACACGCACGACAGGGAGTTGTTAGAGAATGGGAAGGGTTTGAAGAAGCAGCAGGAAGAAGTTGACGACTTGCTGAAGGAAGGTCATGGTGTCGGCTGGAAACTTGGACTGACGGACCATGGTTGGAAGCTTCACAGCCGATAGTGAGGTCATTTCCCCCAGGGAGCGTGGTTCGAGTATTTGGGTACCTTGAGATATCTGTCAGGAGATCCTCAATCGGCGAACGTCTTTCCCGTTTCGACGCCGGCGTTATTCTCAACTCCGAGTTCGCCACCCGTATGCTCCTGCCGACAAGAGTTAGTCACTAACCGTCAGCTTCTAGCTTCTCATCAACAATCCTCAACATCTACAACCAAAAACTTCAAGAAACGCGTTATTCGATCTCTTAACACGCAGTGCTTGGCTCTCAACAGTCTGTCTAGCTTAACAACAGCTTAAGGTTTCTGGTCCCTAGTTCCACTAAAAAGAGGATTAGAAATTAACAAAAAAACATACAACACCAGGTATTCGCTAGTCGTCACCAACCCAACTACTAATCCAGCCCTCACTACTCTTACCTATGGGTACTCATCGTCTTAGGGGTGAAGCATATTACCTCAACCAACGGACGATGACTGTCCCAAAGCAAGCGTCTGGACGGAATATCCTTAATATATGCTGAAACGGAGCATCCCCGTAATCATCTGCCAGCTCCGTTTGGCAACGGTTAGTCTAACTTTCCACTATAACACGCCCTTCCCCCTACCACACACCACTACTATCACCTCATCACCCTTTTTTTATAATTTCTTGTTTTTCAATTTCCTATCCACATCTTGCTCCAACTATAAGTCACAATCAGCCTTATTAGCTCCCTCAGTACAGTGGGTATTCTATTAAGGCGACCACCTCAGCGCCTATAGTGCAGCTCTGGGCCGATTTTGTGCCGTCCTCTTCTGCACGCCTGCGCCAGACATGGTAGCAGCTCCGTTGCCAGAAGCGCTGGACGTGCCCAGCCCATAGCGAGCTACCTCGGCCTTTTCCAATTCTCCCGAGTAGATGTCCACTTCAGTACCTTAGCAAATTGAGTTCTGGTGCATTCTCATCTCATACCCACATTTATCCGGATTTCTCAACCCTATCATCATCAATGGGATTCTAATGGATAAATTTCTCCACCATAATCCACGTATTCGGAGCATTGGCCAATCAATGAACAATGAATCCCCATGACGTAAGGTTGCACACCTCATCATCATCGTCCACACCTTTCTTTCTTCAGAGGTATTCTAAGCATCATCAAGATCGATTCGTATTCTCAGTTAACACCCCGAAAACAACCGGCTTCCCTCCACATTGCCGTCCTCCAACATAAAAAAAGTCACGTCCATTCCATCATCTTCGCCGCCAACAGCCCTGCCCTACAGTGACATCGACTTCGACATCGACGCTGAACTCGTCGCGTTCGCAGCCGAGACAGCCACCGCCTTTACCAACATGATCGAGAGCGGCCTCCACATCCTCTCGTCCCTCCGCAGCCTCGAAGCCCGGCTTGCGCCATCGACCGACTATATGACGACCCGCAGCCGTCTCCCTGCCTATTCATCCCAACTGTTATCATTGGTTGTCCTGGACTGCGACGGCGTTGTTGCCAGCCTGCTCTAACTCATTTGATCCATTCCTTTGTGAGCGTCACAATGCCCGAAAGGTTGCGCAAGGCGTGGACGCGGTCGTGTTTGTCCTGCAGGTTGAACCAGCAAGTGCCGGCTATTCTGAGGCACTCGTCAAAGGGGGACGAGCTGTCGGCGGCATTCGCCACGATTTGGTCGATGTACTCGGGCGTCGTGCTGGCCGAAAAGAAGCGCAGATAAGTCTGGGCGGCGACGATGATGAAGACACTAAACAAAGACTCAGCTCAGCTCAAGGCCGTCATCCAATCAGCCAGTCGGCCAACCCCCTTCATGTTGGCGGCGCCGGTACTCACGTGCTTCTGTTGTCACCCGGACAGAAACGGGCTGCGAGCAGCTCGCCAACGACCTGGCCCAGCCACGAGTCGTCAAACTTGGGCTTGCCCTCTACGACGGTGCCGAGGGCTCGCTTTGCTTCCAGCGGGGTACGGCCGACGCCGAGGTGGCCGAACTGGTGGACGTAAAGACCGCCGTCGTCAAAACAGCCGAAGGAGACATTGCTGCCGGGCAGGTGCGTCGTCAGGTTACGTCTCTGGACGTCAAAGTCGACGACAGGGTCCGGGCATCTGGCGCCGTGCTGCGGAGGGGCCCAGAGCAGGGTCTGACGGATGAACTCGCTGATGAGGCTTACAGTGAGGTCCTCAGTGGCTGACGCGACGGCAGAGAACTCTCTAGGCGGGACGAAGTCGGAGTGCGGCGATGTCATGACAGGGGGTTCGGAGCTTGGATGGGAGGACGGCACGTAACAGGGCGGATTGAGGATGGTTGTCCAGCGTTGAGGCCTGGGTGTGTGTGGGAGATGCTGTGGTCCAGGGTTGTCATCTGCGTCAAAGGCGTTGTTGTTGACGTTGTTGACGCCGTTGTCGTCGTTGTCGTTAAGACCAGGGATAACTAGGCTGGCGTGCGGTCCGATGGATGGCGAGGAAGCGACATGGCTGAACGGCGCAGGCTCGTTAAGGCCCATGATGGGCGGCGAGCTGCCCAGTCCGCCGGGCGACTCTTCCACGGGGGCGGCAGCATAGGTCAGGGTCTTGGGCGACGTGACCCGGAAGCGATCCAACAAGGACCAAAAGCGGCCATTCACAATGTCTTGACGGACGTAGGCATGCTCAGACTCAAGCGTCCCGGGTATCTCTCGGTGAATCAGGCTGGTGAGATTGCGTAGTGCCGCGGGATAGTCGGAATAGAAGCCGGCCAAAGCATCCCCGCACGAAGGCATGTCAGCGGAGATTTTGCGCGTGTTCTGGAAGGCCTCTTGGTTTTCTCTGATGGCGGGCAGCAGAGTCTCCTCACTCTTGGTGACGATCACACGGCAGGCGCGCAGCTGGTCGCGGCCCCATGAGCTAGTGCTCTCATCCAAGGCCTCTTTCAAAGTGGGCGGGCTACCGGGAAGGTTTTCAAGAACCGATTTGTTGGTCACGTGGTCGATATACCGAGAATTCATGATGACCGGGAGACAGAGGCGGTAAAGTTGAGAAATTTGAGGGGAGAAAGCCAGCTTAGAGTGAAGGTAGAGCGAAAAGAAGGCCGCCGGGAACTACGTTGAGTTAGAAGAGAAAGTGGGAAATGGGGATAAAGTGAATAAATACCTGAGACTCCCGACGGATTCAGAACTGAGCATCTTTTTTTTTCTGGAGCAGTCCATGAGTTGACACTAAAGCGGCAGCCTAGAAAATTCACTCAGCTCAAAGGAAGGCAGGCAAATACAGAGAAGGCAGGCAAATACAGAGAAGGCAGAGTCGTCTTGCTTGGTGTTTTCTTGTTTAAAGGTCAAGGTTGGGTACACACCTTAGGGGTAAAGGCTGCTCACCCGGCCGTTGTGGCTGAGCCCTTCTGTGGCTTCGTGCCTTTGCACCGCCGTTCACTCCGTCTTGGCACGTGACACTGTGACACTGTGACACTGCGACACCTCGCTGGATTCTGTCATCATTCCTCTGGCAACAACCAGCAAATGACAACAAGCACCCCTGCCCGTACACACCACCACAACCACTACCTCCTCATGATGCCAGCGACATCACCATCACAACTGCAGTGCTCGGGCAGTTCTGTGCACGAAATTCTGCGGCAGTACCCTCGCGAAAGACTCTGGGTCCACCCGTACTTCTGGACATCGCGCCACCTCACTCTGCTTGACTGCGCCATCATTGATGCTACTGCTATGGACGCCCTTCCCATGACCAGCACAAAACCCCAGCGCAAGAGACACAGCGTCCGGAAGCTTCTGCCTTCCCCAACGGCAGAACCAAACGGGTTCTCCCCTCCTCCCACCCCCCCCCAATTGCCCACAGTCACCAGCCATGATGCAACCCTCCCAGATCACGCAAGATGGGCCAGGCGCATTGCTCAGAGCCCCGTTTTAGTGGCTAGAGATGTGGCCATGAGAAGTCTATTGAAGCAGCAGCAGAGGAACAGGGATCTCATAATCAAACAAGTCGCGTTCGTCTCTTCCTAAACCCCTCCCTCTTGATTAGCAGGCAGTCTCAGCTAATGAATTCCACAAATGACAGGAGCAAAGTGTCTTTCCGCCTCGAAAAACTCTCCCAACATATCCCCTGTTCCGTTTATGCCGATTCGCTTACCCCGGCCGGCCCTTCGATCGTCTTCCTCGAGGCCAACGACCTCCGAGAACGCCGTGCCGCCATTCTGAAGCGTCGCTTCTTGCCGCGATATAGCAAGCCGGGCCACTCTCTCCTCAATATACACCTCGCCCGACTCGGCGATGTCTGTCCCTGGCAGGATCCATACATCGCCGCTGTCCTGATTGCAATTGCCCAGGCCCAGCGCAAGGCCATGCGGCGCCTCTCGCCATCTCCAACGGGGGACACTTTCCAGGCAGGTGCACCTCGCATCCCCCCAAGACTTTCTCCTCGGCTCTTGCTGTGCCCAGACTAACTAGTCCCTGTCGCTTTGCAGGTCCGTCTTCTTCTCAGCGACGTCCAGGACACGTCCGTCCTGCGAATTTTCACGGCCGATGTTTCCGACGCCTACCTCGACAAGCTCGCGCATCCCCACATACGTCCCCCACCGAACTCGTCCATACAGATCCGTGTCACTAAAATTCCGTACGAGCCGTACCTGTCTTTCCAGCAGCGCCTCTTGGAGACACTGTTTCCACGCTGCTGCAAGCGTCAAAGAGAAGAAGAAGACGAGAAGAAGGAAGAGGAAGAAGAAGAAGAAAGAGAGGCTCAAGATGAGCAGGATACCCAACGATGGAATGCCCGCCGCCAAAGAGTACAATAATGATAGCGAGGTGGTGCGTTTGTGTATTTTCCTCGGTGTTGGGTGGTTCTTGGGACAAGGTGTTTTGGCACATTCGACATGGTGGTTGGTCACTGGCATCTCCTAGATGAGTGATTCCACGTTATGGTCTTTTTGACTGGTCTTTTGATTGTTTGCTATGATACCTCAAGTTTCGCCTTGGTCGTTTTATTTTCTTTAACAAATGCAATGACGTTTGATTCCCCGTCACGCTCTGTCTTCCTCTTTTGCTTAGTTAAGCTTTCTACAGTATAGACAGTCTAAACTCGCTGCACTTTGTTCAAGTAGCTATCTCTCTCTACTCATGGGGAGACGAGGCTGAAGAAGGCTTAAGGATTCCCCTGAACTCCATGCCGGAACATCAGCCAAGGCCCAGTTCCTCTGCCACAAGCCCGCCGCATCCAAACTCGACCTGCTTAGACCTAGACAGCTTAGAGATAGGTCTGGGACCAGGAACCCAAGGACAAAAGCAAGGTCAACATCATACTACCTAGGTCTTCCTACGAAAACAGCCCTTAGTCCACGGCCCTCACGAGCAATGTGACGGCGTCTAGGGATACTCACAAACGGCCAGACTCTTTCTCCCTATAACGTAGTTAATAAGCAAGTAGGCTAGATAAGTAAGTAAGCTACTTTCTTATTATACTTTTAAGTAGACTTTTAAAATTTTTAATAAGATACTTAATTTTAGCTTAAAATAAGTAAAAACTTTAGTTTTATTTTAGGCAATTAATACCTAGGTATAAAGTTTTAATACCTAGGCATAACTCTTATCTAGGCATAGAAATCTCTATAACACTATTAGCCACAGATTCTCACGCCCCACAGCTACTTTAATAAAAGGTAGTAAAGGTCTTCTCCTTAATATTCTAGCTTTTCTCTTCTTACTATATATTACAGCTAGCTAACTAATAGTGGGGTTTATATTAATAGTAAGTTAGGTAATAATAATAGTAATAGTTATTAGTTATTCTATAGGTCTAATTAAGTAATTATAGGTCTTTAAAGGGCTTAGTAATTAGTTAA